ACCGTGAATGTCGTTATTCATAACTAAACCCAGTTTACCGCTATGACACAGGCGGTAGACCTTCCCAAATTGATTTTGTAATCTGGTGTCTGTCACCTGGTCGGTGTGTCATGTGTATACGGTGGATTAAATAGCCCCATCTAACCGTATTTAGCTCCTGCAGCGACAGTGCACCATGTTTTTTTGTCCCCTTTTCCTTTCAGCACCACACGCCGTGGACAGCGCAGAGCAGTGCGATCAGCTGTGACCCCACCTCCTCCTCATCCATACACCGTTGTAGATGTCAGTCTCTGGTTTGATATCATGTCATTCTTTGATTCGTGCTTCATTTGAAAATATGCAACACAAGCATTTGCACACTGGCTTTGCCTTTTATGCGTCGAGGGCTCAAACACTTTTAAAGTCCCCTGTCCCCTGCTCAACAAGTTTAAACTTCAACTTATTGTTTTTAGTTCTTAACTGCATTCATTGTTTATTTGCCACCTGGTTCCAAGGAAAAGATTAATACCCAGAAAAGTTTTGACCACTTCTACAGCATCGAAGAATAACCCACCGTCATGCACATTACATGTTGATATGTCTTTGTGGCCCAGACAAATGTATTCTTAACATATTCTAATGAGAGCAGTGTTAATCTTAAAAGAGTCATTCCAAATCAGATTATGGGTGATGGATTGATTTAGTCAAGTTACACAAGTAACCTTGTTTTAAATGAGGTTGGTCTCATGACATACTCTTGGTGGGATGCGTCCCATTCAATTGAGCTCTCGTGCGCCCTCTTGTGGCGGAAGCTATTCACGTGCGTATGTACAGTGATTAAACCTGGCTAGTAGCATATTGTGTCTAACTGGATTACAGTCACATGCAATTAGATGCAGATCGTTTTGCAAGTTTTGCTAGTTATTAATGAAAACAATTAATATTTTAAAGATGTTAAAAAATCCATACACAGAGAAAGTGAGTGAGAAAGACCGCATAGTCATTTTTATTATGTTAACCATGGAACTTACAGTATGTTAAATCTGTACAATTAATGCATCAAATAATTCCCAATCAACCAAAAGCAATTGGAAATTGAGAATGCCATGTAGAATGGGAACGTTTGCTTGTATAAAAACTGCAGATCTTTAAGTAAAAAATATTGTCAAGATGATCTTTTCAAGTTCCAAAACTGGATATAATATATGTTAAATGCTACTGCTGTCTGGCTATAGTTGATAGATTGCATGTTTTATTATATTTTTATGATATATTTTCTTGTAAACAAAACATAAAAACATGCAATGTGTGATCCTTGGAAATATGTTCTTGACGAAAGGCAAATTGCAAACATGTTATCAGTTATTGTGCGCAGTAATTCCATACGTCTAAACTAGTGTGAAATTCCCTTCACCATCAGATACTGAACCCACCTACAGACGCACTACAGTAAAGAAGTTGTGTATTTGAATGACAGATAAGAATCTAGCAGGAGGTATTGCCGTATGCTCATCATGGGACCGTAAACTATTAGCTCACTATTTACATCATCAAAATAGCAAAGTAACCACATGGCCAGAGGCTGCCTAACTAATGGTCTGCTTATCTTTGACTTTTCTCTCTCTCACCTGGGTGCACCGTATTGCTCTTTGTTATGAAAACTACCCTTAGTTTGAGTGTTGTGGGTCATATGTATTTGATAAGATCAAACATGTGGGAAAAACAATGTGTGTTTCAGAAGCACCTGGTAACGGTAACATCCCAAAGGCTACTAGGCTTCCTTATTCTGAAGATGCAACGTTTTCCCAGATGCTTATCTAAATGTCGGCCCGGCAATTCTTCTAATCTGTTTCTCCTATTTCACACAATGTCTGCTCTGTAGTCTTTGTGATGCAAAGCCCTTTTAAATAGTCATTGAACCGCTGCAGGGGGATAAAGACAAAACATCAAACATAAATGAGTATATCACAAACTGCAAGTAAAATCAGACGCAGTCCAATTATTTTTTAACAGAATAATACCACACTTCCTCGTCATCTATTTTACAGTGTTGACATAAAATACAGTGTGTTGCATTGATATTTAATTCATAAGAAATGCAGGAATACTCATATTCATGGTACAGAACATAGAAATGCAAAACGAGGGCTCTATTTCAACAAGTACAGTGAAGGACTGCTGCTTTGAGTCTGCATGACATGTGGCCAAGAAATAGTATAATTCACTCTTTCCAAATCTGTGTTCAATATTCTAAGAGAAAAGTGGCAGAAGTAATCATACTCTGTGTCAAAGCCTGCAGTTCAGTCTCTGCTGGCGACCGCAGCACAGAAACAGACATTACGGCATGTTGAAAATTCCCTCACAGCGGTGGCACGGTTCTCTGGGGATCAACAAAGGTTGTGGACACTTTGTTTTACAACTAACTGTTATTCTAACGTTCTAACCTCCACAAAAACCCAATGAATAATGCAAATAAGGGTAACATCATACGGTATCTGTCACTCTGCTTGTCACAGTAAGCTGCAGTTACAGTTTTACAATAAGGAATGCATGACTGTCTGTTTTTATGTGGAGAAGCTCCTCTATAAAAGCCTACTCGGTCAGATAATCACTGAGATGATCTGATCGGATACAATCGTCCATCTGTAGTTGATCTCATGGTGTGGAGTTTATCATGAATACTGAGCAGTATTGTAAGTAAGCCTGGAGAGAATGGAGATTCTTTACAGTGGTCTAAGTAGGCCTCATAGGGCCACAGCCAAGATCAAACTGCCTATGGGTTGCTAGGCTGTTGGAACAACTTTATCTTTAGAGGACGCAAAGCTAATTATTATTTTTTTAAGTGCGGTTTGAGAAATACAGCCTTGAAAGCCCCTGGCTTATTCTGTGCGTCTGCCGAGCAAATTCAACACAGTGTTTCTTCTCGGGGGCCATTTTGTCCTTTATTTTTGATGCATTTTGTCCACCGCAGCGCATTTCTGACTCAGCTTACCCCACTAATTGATTTGACATGGTAGATCCAATATCCTTTTCATGATAGTCAAACTTTAGTATGATAACTTTCCTCCCCTCTCTCCATTCCTTCTTTTATGGTCATATAATGTTTCCACATGTTCTGTCTCGACTGCACCACTTTTTCTACATAAAGTCTTACAGGGGGAATGAAATATATACCGGGCCACATACTGCAGTTAAAGGGACGGGAAGCTGACTCCCCTGCTACATAGGGACAAATTATAGAACAACATTGACAAACCATCGACATCTTATATCATTGTGTCCCATAAAGTTTACTCATCTGTTAAATCTGGTAGCCCCAAACAGCTTGTTGCTTATTACCTAATATCATGTGTATGAGGTTCCGTCCATGAGTTTGTGACAACATTGTTTCTCGATCATTGTTGTGTTTAAACAATAATAATAAACAATAAAAGAGTATTGACTAACCTGATGGGGATCAATGCTGCTAGTCAGCACTGTTGATGCATCAACAGTGCTACATGCATTACAGAGGTCGTGACCAACCAGTCACTCACGGTATGCAGCTTGAGAAAGCCTCCGAACGAAATCAGTCTATGTATGATCTTATTCCTGGGGGGGGCGGGGAGAAAAAAATGTACCGGTCTATTAAACACGCCTAATTATCATAATTATCACAACTCCACCAGCCTCAGAAAAGTCAAATGATCCCTCATGTGGTTCTATGTGTCTATAATTGACCATTTGCACGGATGTGTTACACTGCCGTGTGGCTGAGCCACGGGTCCGAGCGGCACCTATTGTTAAATTCGTACAACCAGCAGATGACCGTGCGGCGCTTCTGCGTGGGGTGTGGTGAGGAACTCTTCCGCTGCGCGTCCACACACCATATCTATCCTCCCCTGGCGCGTATTGTTTGTGTGGTTTGCTGGACAGAAAATAAAGAAAATTTAATTACAGAAAAGCCACCTCTGTATAACGTGTTTACTGCACCACTATATACGATTCGGTAAAGGAAATACATAGTGCCATTCGCACAAGTGAACTACAAACCCTTTGCATATGCTACAGACAGTAGTAGCAGTTGATTATTAATAGCTATAATAATAACGATTATAATGTACGAGATGAACTTCGGGACATAATTATATAACATGTAAAATAAATGTCAATAATTGTCAAAAACGTTATTAATTTCCATTTTGCAGAGTAAAAGTTGATTAAGAACCGTTTATGCTGCAGCGTTTTGCGCAGAAACGAGTGCGCATAGTGCGCATATACACATATCTTCTCTGTGGGGAAATACACAAATGTAAGCGTCCTGATTTCTTAACTCTTCAACCAAAGAAAAACATTCTTCTATTCAATTAGACTATTTGTTTTCATTCTTCATTTTAACGTAAATAATACAATGATAAGTATAAAAAACATAGGCCAAAAACACCCAATTATAAGGAAATGCGTATTTATGTGTTTCGGGAAATAATATGCAAGATTGTGTGCGTGCGTGTGTGCACCCGTAGTCATGGTGTATGGATGCAGAAGACTATGAAAACATTTGTATGCAGTATGTCTCGTATTTTTTAACACACGCAAGTAATTGCGATATATTTTTTTAAACAAATAACAATCCACATTGCTTTTTTTAGTGGTCCAGCTTCATGCATCGTTAAACTTTCTTCCATACATCAGTGTCCTGTAGACAGTGTAGACCTACAACAAGTAGCCAAAGAAGAAGATCCCATTTCAGAACAAACACATTATCATATATAATAATCATTTCATTGATTTTATTGGACTTATTCAAAGTCTCACTCGGTGCAAAGTATCGTGCGCAGCAGCAGAAGCGTGTGACACCACTAACTGACCTCGTGAGGTCAACACAGACAGAAGGCAGCCCCCCCCCCCCCCTCCCCCTCCCCCGCCATCCAATCACAACGCTCCCCGAGCCTCCCAACGTCCGGGTCTTTGACCAATCGGAAGGCGCAGCGCGGAGTCGGAGGGGACAGCGAGTACAGATAAAATGTTTGACTTGCATCCATCCCTTCAATCCTCGCAAGACTGTGAGTGACCTGCTCTTTGATTTAAACTCCCACCTCAGCCTCACATCTGCCACCGGATACCAGCCAACGACATCTCCCTGTCTGTTCAACCTGTTACTGAAGGAAACGGGGGAGGGGGGCGGGGGAGGGTGCAGAGAAGAAGGAGGAGAAGAAGAAGAAGAAGACGGGCCTTTACAACAAACACAACGCTATTTTTGTGGGATTAAAAAGAGACAAACAAAGGCAGCGTCGTTGAAACTGTTACCTGACAGAGAGTCGGGGGGTCATGACAGCGCTTGCAGGAGGTTTACCGAGAATGATGCGACCGACTCCTCACCAGAACTACCCGCGGGGGGGATACTCTCTGGAAGGTAAGATGCCACCAGTTGCTGCTCGCTGTCTGAAGAAACTACAACTTTTCCATATCGCCAAAGTTATGGAAAGTTTTTCGTCTGTTGAAATGTAATTATTGGCGTCTTGTTTGAAGGTTTAAAAAAGGTTTTTTTTTTTTACAGCTGTAGCCTGATGGAAACTAAAAATAAAACTGGTGTGTCCCCGGTTCGGTCGATATTTACACTTTAAATACGCTGGGCCTTTTTTTGTTGCAATTGTATTTATTCAATCTATTATTTTTAAAGTGATATCCCCTCCAAAAGTATCACATTAATTAGGAGAGACATGACCGGCCATTTGTGAAAAGTAAATTATTTTAATTTCTCACGCTACATGCAATCAAATGATACTTATTGTAGGAATACAGCATTTGATGCACATTATCTGAGATGATTTAATATATTCGATTGCACATTAAACGTGTACTCGTGGACCATATCCAACAGGTACGGTCGGGATGAAAGTTATTTCTCACCCCTAAAACTGAGACACACACACACGCACACAAACACACACACGCACACACATCGTGTAGCAGCAGTATACACGCTGTGAGCACTGAGACTAACTGAATCCCACGCACGGCCGTGCAGTCTCCACTCCGCTAGGACAGGGTCGGGTCAACCAGCTCGGCGGTGTCTTCATAAACGGCAGACCTCTCCCCAACCACATCCGACATAAAATTGTGGAGATGGCCCATCACGGCGTCCGGCCGTGTGTCATCTCCCGTCAGCTGCGCGTGTCCCACGGCTGCGTCTCCAAAATCTTGTGCCGGTACCAGGAGACGGGCTCCATCAGGCCGGGGGCCATCGGAGGCAGCAAGCCAAAGGTGAGAGATCTAAGGACGCGCGACGGTAAATGCGCTACTGTGGATGTGAGGAAAGTTATCCGAAATTCAGAAGTTCTTTTGGAGACATTTTATGTGTGTAATTTACATCCCTCGTTTTCACTCGGTTGGAAATGCCATTTGAAAAGCGCACAAACATACAAAAATAATCTACAGTCAAATAAAATAAACAAAGTAATTGGGTTTATCGATACCTTTGTGAAAATAATCTTAGGATATTTATTACAACTTCATCAACAATCCCTATGATTTACTGTGTCACAACTCCATCCAAATGATTACATTCTCAAATTGTTAAACTTTTCTTTCCTCTTTCCTCCCATCTAAGCAAATCTCTACTCCGGAGGTGGACAAGAAAATCGAAGATTACAAGAGAGAAAACCCGGGCATGTTCAGCTGGGAAATCAGGGACAAATTACTGAAAGATGCAGTCTGCGACAGAAACAACGTTCCCTCAGGTAGGCGATAGTTTCAGCAACTGCTAGAAATTAAAAATATTTCCATCTTTCCCTACACAAAACAACATTTTGCAATAACACGAACATTCTTTACATTACATTATGTCCTTTGCTATGATTAGATTTCTTGTGTAACTTATTTTATTTTTTCATTTTCTTTTCTAAGTGAGCGCCATCAGTCGCATCATGCGGTCTAAATTCGGCGGAGCCGGTGATGATGAGGAGGAGGATGATGACGTTGTAAAGAGGGAGATGGAGGAAAACGAACCACGGACCAAACACAGTATCGATGGCATCCTCGGAGACAGATGTAAGTGCAGGGTTATAACTTTACACTGTTGTTTTTTTTTTACAATCCAAAAGAAATGCGGCATCAAGACCTCACGGAGGTTGATTTTTCACTGGCAACTTGGACAGAAAACTTTTTAAAACAACAATAATAATAATAGTAATTACATTAAAAAATGTGTAACGTACTAATTTAATTCGTATTGAATTGGTCGCAGACACGTTTTTTTTTTATTTAACCTACACATTAAAGTTCCAGGTGTTTACGCATGCGTTTAGGCTTCTGAGAGTGAACAAATGTGCAGAGTTTTTTTTTCTAAGTGGATAATCAAACATTTGTCTAACTTCCAAGCCTGAGAAACATTTTTTTTATATTGAACACAATTGGACACTTGAGGATGAACTTCATGGGACAAAGGAGGGAGAGTCCATTGATACTCACACCTCAGTTTGACGAGCACAAAAGCCAAACTCCAGTGAGCGGCTCAGTGGTGTACAAAAAGACGCCAAGGCCTTTCAAAAAGGGGAAGAAAGGGAGAGAAAACTGTGCTGACAAAAGGCCGGGAGAAGACATTATGAACCCGCAATGAGCGATGAATTATTCAGGGACACCAATAGGCCCGGTGCGACCTGGTTTATGGACTGCTCAAAAAAAAAGTGCCAATTTTGGGGGCTTAACCCCGCTGATATCAGTTTTTCGTTGAGGAAAAAAAAATGGGGGAAAAGTGTCGACTTCAGGCAAACACCTGTTGATTTACGACCTGTTGGGGTTCGAGGAGTGCTGCCGCAAAAGGAGAGGTTGCTGTTGGAGACATAGAACCGTCTGTGGTTAATTATTGATGAGCAGACCTCATGAAGGCGGGGTGTTTTGGCAATACCGTGCAATGACGCACCGATTCATTCACGGCACCAAACGTTGTAGGTTTGTTTAGATTTGTTTTTATTTTCACATTTTAGTATATGATAACGGACAAATACGCATGTAGCTAACGCATTTAAGGCAAATGTGTTTGCCTGCAAAACGTTAAAGACACGTCAGGCCTCGCGCTATCAAATTGAACGGTGCCGTAAGTTTTGCGCACTGCGCTTTTGTCACAGTCCTTGCCCAGTCAGCCAGTGAGCGCGGGGGAAACCCTTCTCTCCACCAGATTCAATCTAAACCTTTTATTTCTCTCCACTTTCATCTCGGACAAAGTCCGCCCCTTTCCTTTCCGCCTAGGGCGCACACATTCATGCCGTGTCTGTGGGCACTTCCCTCTCCTTCTTTCAGGGAGACGCATCTCGGGCAGTGGACTTCTTTAACTTCTCAAACTCTCATTACTACAAAACAAAAACCCACACTTCAATTAATAATCAGTTTACTGCAATCGATAATCATGATGCATAGCTTCTGAGATTTATCTGAAAAACAATTAATATTAGCTATTTTACATCAAATAGGTGACATCCTACATGCAAACAGCTCAGAGGCACTTTCCCCCATTGATATACAGAGGAGCACTATTTCATTCTTGTGTCTCTTTGTGGAAGTAGTTGTTGTTTTTCTCTTTTATAGCTCTTCATTAGAATGTGAAAAGGGTGGTTTGGGGACTGTGAAGAGTGTCTTCTGGCCAAATATTGATTAAGTAGGTGTTTGCAGAGGCTATTGTTGTGCTGGAGAGAGGCCTGTTGCTCTCTGCCCCTTTCTCCTCCACCACTATTGTTGTCTTTCCTTAAGTGCTAAGATCAAAGCTGACTCATTTAGATTTATTTGTCTGGGAAAAGGACTGCTAAGGGTTTGTGGGATAAAGTATATGGGCCAGGCCTAGGCCTGCATTGCATTAGGCAGGCTGGAGCATTGTGGGGAAAGGGATGCCTTGCTGGGATGAAGTTGTTTACTACTCCTTCAACTGTTGTTTTACGGAGACGGAATTTACTCCTGTGAAGAGAATTTAAACATCATGCAAGCTTGAGAAGAATTGTTATTGACCGTATCACATTTACCCAAAGCAGCATTAAAGTGTATTTCTGGTAAATCATTTTATTTTTGAAAAGATTGAATGATGCAACAGTGCCCCGATTTTTTTGTTTTGTTGTTGCCATATGAGTGGTACTGAATTAATAGATAGCATCCTCTCCTCTATCTGTTATTGCTATAGCGCTTTAGCCTCATTTAACTAATTAAAGTAACTTAAGTCATGAAAGGGGAGTAGCTACTTTCGCAGGATCCATTTATGGCAGTGGGGGTGAAAGAGAGAAAGACGAAGAATAAAAAGAAAGCTCAGAAATACAAACAGTCAAAGGGATAACTTTTCTTTAAAGGGAGTCCTGTGGTGCCAAATTGAATGAGGCCAGTTCTTTCAAATCTGCCATGGTGAACGCAGTCAACATGTAATAATTGGTTTCATTGAGGTGCATTCCAACAATCTGCTGCCATTCTCCTGCCTCCATTGTCCGAAGGCAGGCAAATAGCCAGAGGGACAGGAGGAATCAACTGCTGACAAAACATGAAAGATTTAGCTGCTTTTGTCAAAGGAGCTGAGTAGGACTTTGTTTGTGTAAATAAACTGGGTTACTGACTCCCCTTGATTTTGGCAAACCAAGAGGCAAATTTAGGAGCGCAGAAAAATTATATTTGTGTTTGAGCGCTCACCATGTTTTAAAGGAGTTAAAACTCATTGGTAATATATTCCGAGAAGGGAGGGTGGGGGGGTGGGGGGGGGGGGGGGTGATGACGGCAGCAAACTTCCATGAGCAGCTGCCACATTCAAGCCATCTAATCCAATTTGAAAAGTTTCATAATTTATATTCCCATCAGACGTCTCAGAACACGACTGCCGTCACTCGCGGGCCGAGAGCAAAACCAACCGAGCAGCACGGCTATAACCCACAAACTGTGTACACAGAGGTGGACGTTAAATTGCCACAACTTGAGCCTTTGTTAGCGGCCCTTGCATCTCCGCGGTGAAGTTGAAGACTTGAGGTTTAGAGGACACAGAACGCCTCAATGTAACCAAAAGATTGTCTGCTACAGCTGCGTCTTCATTTTCCTCTCAGGGAATTGTGCAAATAATGCCAGTTTAGCCTTGTGGCCAGTTAAGTGAAAAACAAACCAATATTCCCAATATATATTTCTTCCCTTGATAGAGAGACAGACAGACAGACAGCTCACAGCCTCTTTCTCTGTAAACCATCTCAAGTATAAACGCTCAACACTTTTACGTTCTGTGTTGGAATCCCTCAAAAGGCAAGAGACAAAATCCACACTGGCTGATCTGCAACTGAATGCGGACTCTATGCTTCATTAAAGCCTCTTTCTCCGTTGGCACCCGCATTGTGATCCTCCAATATTAATTCAAAGGACAATTAATGAATGCACGCCAACTTTGAAGTAATGGGCCGAGGTCCTGCCCCGAGCCGGCCCCTTGGCGCTGATGTACTCTCCGCATTCTCCCCACTAACCCCAGAGACACTGTGAAGTGACTGAAAGAGAAGCAGTGAGCAATGGAAGGTCAAGGAGAGGAGCCCCAGTAGAAAAAGACCTCTCTATTTCCTTGGAAGTATTAGCCAAGCAAAACTCTGTGATGGGGAGGATAAAGGAGCGTGAGGAGAAAAGGGTCGGGGGCGAGGGGACTCTGCAAAGAGGAGCACAATAGGATAGTTAATTGAGTAAAGCCAGACAGCGTTGTCAATCACTTAACTTTGTTTAGCCCCGGTTTTTGTGGAGCGGTTTCGTCCAGCACATTGCACTTTATGGACACGCCAGTACAGCCCTGTTTCTGTTTTGATTAATGTCATTTCCCCTCATTCAGAACAAATATATCTATGAAAAAAAAAACTGAAATGTAGGATATAAGTAAATAAAAAAAAGAAATGTTCCAATTTCCCAATCTTATTGAACAAACAGGCTTTATAGAAACAAATTAAGTGAAAAATGTGCACAAGGAGCTCAAATGACCAATATAAATGCACATTTAATGAGTGAGAGCGTAAGCGTGGAATGTGATGATGTCTTTTCTCTCTGTTGCGCGTGGAGCTTTGTTGCGCGTTCGGTGCGTCGTCGCTACCTTCGGAGCAGTGCTGTGGCTGTGAAAAGGTCAGAGGCTGACCTCGGGGTCACTTGACTGTTAAAACTATCAGGCCCCAGGAGAGGGAGGTTACAATAATGTTTGGAAAAAGACGACAACTGACAGACTCCCGAAGCCGAGATCAGCAAAGCGCTTCTTCTGATGATCTCCACCTATGAAGATACGCAGACTTGTTTCCGTTCGGTGAATTCAAGTAGTTTTTAGAGAGTAGGCCGGTTATTCGGAGCGAGGTAATTGGCCTGCTGGTTCGTCTGGACCCCAAAGAGGCCAGGCTGAGGACGAACTACGCTGGTCAGTGTCCGTTTGACTGGAACGTGCGGCAGACCGGCCTGTTGCTTTGTCCCCAGCGTGGGTGCTGTCCCGTTGCTTGGTCCACGCCCCGAGGGTGAAAGTGCCACCGTGAAACTATCACCTAACTGCACCCCGGTGGAACTAAATAATAACCACCGCACACTGGGCACACATAATAGCCATCAAGGGCCATTTGTGTCTTTTTGTCACCTCACCAATATTAGACAGAGATACATCTTTCAAAGTCATATTGCCAGCTCTTTCTTTGTCTGATAAGTGCCAACCTCCTGTGCTTGTGCACTTCATTTTTTTTTTCCATCCATCCCATCATGATCTTACCCCCCCCACCCCATTCTCTTGTCCCAGGCAGCTGCGGGATCCTGGGGGCTCTTTAGCAAGTCAAGTGAGCCGCCGCGCTCACTCCCCAGTTCTTCCCTTAACTGTTAACCCCAGCTGAGCCCATAAGCTGTCAGTTAACTATTCTTTTCCTCCCGTGCATCTGCTCGTTCTGGCTCTATGTTGCGTGCCACTTTTTTATTCAGTGGGCTGCTCGCACCGCGCTCTGTGGCCTGAAAGGGCCAAGATCTACTTCCTTGGCCAAATAACTAGTTCATTTGTCTCTTCTGCCCTTTGTTTTGTGCTGCAAACACATGTCACCGGCTCAATTACCTTCTCTATTAACAGCCCCGGGAGGAAGGGCTATCCAGCCCCTACCAAGACAAGGCCGTAAACTGCCCCATATGCTCCACTTCTCTTTCTCTGCGAGGCTGTTCATCTCTTTCCTTTCACAATTTCTTGCTTTTTTCCCTCTCCATTCGGGTTCTCCCTCACACTTTGTGTCAGTCTTTCCACCTTCCGCTCAGTTTTTGCCAGTTTTAGCCAGCGATTTTTTGCGTGCATGTACGTGGATGCGTGCGCCTGTGCATGCCTCTTCATATTAACGTCACTTGAACGCGTGGGAAGAGGAGGGGTGAATGCTTGGCAAGGCGAGTCTTGGCCGATGTAAACTACGCGGCGGTAAACAAGAGCAGTCTTTATCCTCGCAGTTGGAATCTCCGCTTGTTTTTTTTGGCCTGCGCGAGGCAGCACCGCCGCGGCAGGTGAAGCTAATAGGACTGGACGTTCACATCTGCGACCCTCTGGAGTTTATCTTCGCTGCCTGTCAGTCTCCTCTCTTGATCAATAGGTGGTTTACCTCAAGCTCTGCTCTTTTCCTTCATCCTTTGAGTGTGTGTGCATTGTATTTGTGTCCGCGCACAAACGCTTGTTTTATTTCATTCATTTGTCATATTATGCAGAGAAACCTGTTGGATTCACTCGTTGAATGCATCACTTCAGTAAACTGCGCTATACCCCCCAATCTATGTTAAATCAATCTACCACGCTAAACCACTCCAGAGCTTTTTATCAATCTACAACTTTCTTTGTTTTGAAACGTCTGTTTTATGGATAACGCTCCAGCAGCCCCAATTTCCGCTTGAGGGATGATAATCCATCTTTCTATTAAGATTCTTGTCAGGGCCACGGCCAAACTGTGAGCCGCTATGGAGCATTTTCAGCTCCCTATTGCTTTAGCTGCAGCGTAAAATTTGATTTGGGTGTTTAAGTAAGGAGGTCGAGGCCTCCCTTTGTGTGTTTTAGTATCCTCTTCTGCCATTTGTCGCGGGGAATGTGTGGGAACGACCCTCTCCGAGTCCGCTTCTGCATCAACTTGCCTTAACATCAATCCACGGCAGCATAGGAGCCCTGCTTGAAATGGTGGATGCAGCGACGGGTGAGCGCACAGAGAGAGAGAGAGAGTGAGTGAAGTGAACGGATCAGATGGAAAGGACAGGTTGGCTTTTATGAATGACCAGCACACCACATTCTCCTTAGCTCGGCACCCCACACCCCCGTCCCCAGCATCTTCTTCAGGTGCCTTCATCCTCACATCCCCTCTCTGTGTCAACTTCTCCAACTGCCCCATCCCCCCTCCAGCTCTGTTCCCCTCGGGCTGGGGAGGGAGGGGATGAAGGGGTGCCCCCCTGCTGTGCACCTCCACAGCCCCCAGTGGCCCTTCACCGGACCCTTTTGTAACCCCCCCCTTGGCCCCATCCCCTTCACCCTCCCACCCTTCATTCCCCAACTCAGCCCCTGGCCTTACAGCCCAACCCCCCTGCCCCCCTCCCGACAGCTTAATCGCTACCTCATCCCTTGCCCCGCACTCCCCTGCTGGACAGATGACAGACCCCTGAATGCGGTCCGGGGCGTCCCTGATGGTTCCTACAGATGGAGCGTGGTAATCGGTCCAACAGAGGCCTCCCACAGGCTTTTCCCTGCTAAGATACAAAGGCTTGGCTTCATCACTTCCAAAAAAAAAAAAAAAAAAAGACAGCGAATGAGAGAGGAAGAGACCAAAAGAGAAAGTGCAAGCCAGAGGATGACAAAGGCAACAATGTCATTTGCCATTAAGGGAGAGTCTGTGACGGAGTGTTTTCTCTGTAGTTACTAATAATAAAAACAGGGAGGGGAAAAAGAGAGGGAAAGACAGAAATAAAGGGGGCAAAGGAGGAGAGATCCACCCCCACCCGCAGTTAACGTGAGTTACAGTGCCAATGGGGAGCTTTATGAGCTCTTCCCCCCTCCCTTAGGAATCTTTTCATTTCTGCGTCGTCATTGGTTCTCTGTCTTATTCTTTCTTTCTCGGTTTCCTCCGTCATTAAAGCGGTCACGGCGTGTTACTTTGCTAGCTGTTTGTTGCTGCTTTAGTGTGGTTAACGTGCTCATAAATGGAAGATTGACTTACTAAACCAAACCATATTGACGTGTTCAATAGTATATATTGGAAAAGTATGAAAAAAAAAGAGTCTCGCTGTGTGGCCTTCTGCTTGTTGCACTTAGAAACGAGCTCCAACTGGTGTCGGGCCACTTCGTTGACCAAAAGAAACCGCATCCCTACTCACAGTGCACGTTCCAGGACCATCTAAAGCCAAATCTCTGTGAGCCTTGATGCCAGCATGGCGCCCCTGCTTCCAATGTAATAAAGAGCTCTTCTCAGCATCAGAATCTTCTGTGCTTGCGGCCTGGAGCACAGCAGCGTTCCCAGGGACCAAATCCTTGTGTAATGCCTGGTCAGACACACACTGGCAACCAGCAAAAACATTTCCTGCTTTGGCTCCAGCGGCTCCAGAGGCAAGGGGAGATCCCTGCTACCCCCTTCCACGTCTGACTTGGCACTTTTTAATTAAAGCTTTGAATCTGGAGGGCGCAGAGAGAATGAGCACTCTGGGGAAACAGACAAGCTCCAGCCCTTCTGTTGCTTACACCTGTCCGTCTGCTGTGAGTTTCTGATTTTTTTCCTCCCCCAGCTTAGATGTCGGCTGCCCAGTCTAAATTTCGAAAAGGTGCAGTGAAGCTTCCACATGAGGTTTAAAAGATCCCTTTGGGGTGGATTTGGGAGTGAATTCCAACTCTCTCCGTCTTGCGTCCATCTGTGTTTGAGACATTGTCATAGGCCGCGCTCACGGAGTGAAAGCCTATAGTCGAGACGCAGCAGATGCATGTTTGTGAGTGCGTACGCTTGAGAAAGAGATGGGGGATTGCAGACATGTAATGGCATACAATGGCAGGCTGTCATGCTAGTTTGTGGAGCCTAATCATTATTTAATAGACGGGTAACCTCCCCCCAAAAGGCCGCAATAGTCCTGTGTCTCTAGTCTCAAGCCCTCATTGATTCCCTTCTTCTGCTGAATTAGATCCCAATGGCGGTCTCACAGTTGCCCAGTCGCTCTTTGCAGCCTTCAACTGAACAAACAGATTAAGAAGCACCTGCAAAAGGCGCCCTGCTCTTTACTATGGGACCCTATCGTCATAGCGCACAGCAGGGCTAAGACCGGGAGAGACAGTTTGTCCCAGGGAAAAGATCCCCCAGAGGGATCTAGTCATCACTAATCCATGTTCAAGCAGCCTCTGGCTTTTGATCCCCTCAGGAACCGCTGAGGAGTTTTAGGGAGCAGGAGGACACAATGGAAATATATGTTGTACTCAGCACAACTTTCCATTCCAGCCTCGTATTTACCCCAACGTTTCATTCCATGTGAGCCCGACTCCTCTGAATGCCCAAGTGAAATTCTCAACTGTTTGCTTTGCAATTCCAGCCAGCCACTCGGACGAGGGCTCCGACGTGGACTCAGAGCCGGGCCTGCCTCTGAAGAGGAAGCAGCGCCGCAGTCGCACAACCTTCACTGCGGAGCAGCTGGAGGAGCTGGAGAGGGCCTTCGAACGCACGCACTATCCCGACATCTACACGCGGGAGGAGCTGGCCCAGCGGGCCAAGCTGACGGAGGCTCGAGTTCAGGTCAGCAACATGCCCGGATGCCCCGTTCAACCTCAAAGCTCCCCAGAACCCGTTTTTTTGGACTGCATAGATGTGTCGATCTGTCATGGGTGTGTGTCTTGGAGGCGTTAAATTGCCGAGGGTTGTTGCCAGACATTCCTTACAGTCATTAGACATATGTCCTCCACAACACCCTCGACCCCACGCCCGACCCCGCATCTCCACATGTTCAGACACGGACAAACTCAGAAACACTGAAACCACTGTGCGTGAAGAAGGCTCTATTTTTTGACAGACACTGTACAAAAAGGGCTATGTGTAAAGATCCCCAAATAGATGGCGGATTTAGATAATGTGCTAATATAGGCTTTGACAACTGTTACCCTCTGAACCCAGTGACTTGCAGTAACACACAAAGATATAATGTCTGCATGCTCCAGATGTTAAGATTTCTAACAGTTCAGCTCCCTGTGATGGGTCAGAGAGGCCTAACACACAGAAACACACACACAGAGACATACACACATGAAAATGTCTTTCACATATATGGGGTTTACAAGTGAACTTATTAATTTGTTTCAATACTTGGATCTCCGTTATTCTCTCAGGTGTGGTTCAGTAACAGAAGAGCCAGGTGGAGAAAGCAGGCAGGAGCCAATCAGCTGATGGCGTTTAACCACCTCATCCCCGGTGGGTTCCCTCCCTCAGCCATGTCTGGTCTCCAAACCTATCAGCTGTCTGACAGCCCCTACACTCCCACTTCTATATCTCAAGGTCAGTTACACACCCCAACATTAACTTAAATTGTGGAATTTAGAAATGTGTGCAATGTGACGGAATCTGAAATGATCTTCAAGCAGCAAAAAAAGTATTCTGGATGAAACCGAAATGGGATTTCTAAGCCGAACGCTTTTATTCTGTGCAGCATCCGAGCAGCCCAGTACAGTCCACCGACCGCAGCCTCTGCCCCCCACCTCCGTGCACCAGAGTGGGCTCGGCTCGGCAGCTGGCTCCCAGGACGGAAGCTCTGCGTACTGCCTGTCCTCTGGACGTCACAGCTTCTCCGGGTACTCGGACAGCTTTGTGACCCAGACCGGACACAGCAACAGCGTCAACCCCACCATCGCCAACGGCCTGTCCCCACAGGTTTGTCTCTATATCCATGATTACAATACAACATAGCAATATAGAAAACACAATGAACACCTGCTTATGAGCACATTCTCATATTTACACACAAATTCAGTCTCAAACACACACGTATCCACACACAAGTGTTGTCATACCAGGAAACAGGGCACTAATAGGGAGGGAGGGTAATGATACACACCAACAAACACTGTCTGTGTGACCTAAGATGCGTCACTGCCGTCGACATTGATGAAAACCTTGTAATGCAAAGAAATACGGTAGCTCTTAATTTTTGTTTATTCTGATGGCTTGTTTGATAAATTGAAAATAGGGCGAGCGCTCAGTCTTTGAGGAGGGCAGGAGGAGCAGATATGAGGAAGGACGAATGGATGTCGGATGATGACACAAATCAAAACTGAAAAGACAATTATGGTCGATTACACAGTCATCAGTGGGCATCAGTGGCGTCCTACCAGCCACGGAGATGGACTAACAGGCGTAAAACGAGCTTTTAACCGCCACAAAGGGTGGCCGGTCCACGTGCAATGCATGCTGGGTACTAATTCCCATGAGAGAGAATCTCAGACTCCTGTCAGGCACAGATAAAAAAAAAAAAAAAACTGCCTCCAGCAGGTTTGTTACGATGTGAATGCCTAAGGAGGAATGCATCTTGAAAAAAAAAGCAGAAGATCTTTGTTGTGGCTGGCAGGGTGCGAGGTCACAGATTGGTAGGTGGCACCATTGTGGCTCAGAAAAATGGACTGCTTTGATATACAAGCTTGAGTTATGGACTATAATTTGTTTGGTCCTCTAGAACTAAACACATTTACTTTTAAATCCTTGGTGTATTCTTATTTAAATTGGAGAGGTAAGCGTATGAACGGTGAAGTTAAGGGAGGACTTTGCGGGTGGATGGTTTTAAACCAGATATTTGTTGAAAGATAAGTGGTATGAAAACTTGGTAAAGCTGTCACCGAGTACATGGTTGTGTTGTGGGTTCACACACACACACACACACACACACACACACACACACACACACACACACACACACACACACACACACACACACACACACACACACACACACACACACACACACAGGGTCACGAGTGACTTTGCCTCCAATAAAGAGGCCAAAGGTGCTGTGGCCCTGTGGATGGTTTCAGCATTAACCTTAGTGGGCAGCTCCGTACAGAATGGACTCATCTCATCTCGTGAGCGACGTTGGCAGGCCCGGAATGTTTTCTCAGTCTGGAATGGCAATCATAGAATGTTCCAGTGTCTTAATTGATTGGAATGAAGTAATCTATCCCCTTGTAACAAACTGTGTAATTTATGCAAATGACTCACTTTGTTGGCTAATTTGTTTTAATTCATGTATTCATTGCAGATGTTTGAATGTATACTCCAATACAGTTTCCCCCATCTCAGACGAGGAAAGAATTAATTCCCTGGTTTTAACTGAATAAGAGGGAGGAAATGAGACTTGATTAAATTCTATGACATTGATAGTTAATAAGTGAAGACCTCTGCACAACTTTGCGGCTTTTCGAGCAGTTTACGCAGCTTGGTCTATATTGTGTTAAATCTTCCCTGGAATTATCCGGCAATCTCAACTCCAAATTCTTCTGTGAAAGATACTCTATCTACTAGTGTCGAACAGGAGACTCAGGGGGTTCAGTTAACTCCAGATTTGGTCACCGTAGAGCGCTACGGATCCTTGATATGGATGAAGTTGACTTTACAATGTTGTTGTCTGAGCAGTTAGCTGTGTATTTGGAGCAGGGGTCTCCCTGCGGTGCGGGGTCTCTGGCGTCTCACCGCTGATCTGGTGCATACCAAAGAAACCCTTTCTCACCGAGCAAGCGAGCGGCCGGGATTTGCACCCCCCTCGAGACCTAATCCCCGGAACAACCTCAAAACAGACACTGTCGGGAACTGCTGCTGTTTTTTCGGCTGCAGGCCGAGAGCGCATGAGCGTGTAGATAAACACAGGCATGTACTCACAGACACTCACACACCACACGTTAACGTGTGATGTTGTAAGGTGATATGGCTAAACACCACTCGATAACCAAGGTTAAAGAAATCCTGTTGAGTTTACACTGTTAGCATTAAGTTTATTCAATATTTCAATTAACAACAGAACATGTTTTGAAATTATACATTTGACTGTTTTAAAGCAGCATCAAGATTTATGAGCATCTGGATTTTTTTTTCTGGAATCCATGCTCCTCACCTCTATAAATACTCAAATTCAGATGGGACACTGTGTGCGACAAACTTTTGTATTTCACAGAATATCACATATCTTTGGCAGAAGGAGAAATAATGGCTGTGTCTTTGGCCGCATTGATGTGTTTTGCAAGCTCAGATCACTGACAGACCAACTGTATTTTATACATTAAAGACACCGGCGGTTTCTTCAGTATTGTGTGCATTTTGTGCGTGTGTGCCAGCTGGTTGTCAGCTGGGAAAGATTCTTTCTTTTTTTACATCATCACATTATTTTTATTTCATGCTTTATTATTTTTTCCTTTCCATTTATTGCCTGTTTATTTGGGCATTTTATAATTGTTTTGCTTGGCTTGAGATACTACTACTTTCTCCTCCAATGCCTGTAATTCCTCGTCCCTGTTCTTTAACTTAACATTTTTGATGTTTTTGTGACTTCGCTTCTCACGCAAACCTATATGCAGCTGTTCACCATGTATCACCGATACCCTTACACCCTTGACATCAGAGCAAAAAATGCTTATATTACACATGACGCACACACAACTACTGTTAAATACACAATTCCACACGTAGGAGAGGTAGCTCTCACACACAAACACACCCTCCTTGATCCCACGTACCCTTTGGCCTCTTCACCCCGGCCTCACAAAGATACGGTGATTTCAGATGCATCAAGAGCAAGTGAATAGTAAAAAAGGGACCCAACACTTCAGTGGATTCATTTAAAAAAAAGTTCTTAAAATTCATCGCATTTTTACTAATGCGTTTTATTATATGCAAGTCTTAACCTCTGTACTTACTAAAAGCACACAAGTGTCATTATGAGGACAAATAAAAGGATGTCCTCTACAACCATAAATTCTAACAGAAACCTCTAGTGGCTGAAGGATTAATCTATTTAGCCACCATCAGCTCGCCAATCAATCAAGACGAGTAAAGGGAAACCATGTGTGAGGGAAGCCAGTGATCATTTATTTTAGACAGACAACAAGGAGCGTCCTACCCGGGCCACCTGATGGAATGTGACAAAAGTATAAAAAGAAATGTACTACCGTAATAAATTGTCAAATAGTCTCTCTATGATTTTCTGTCCTAATTACCCGGTTTCCCTCTATTTCTCCCCTCAGGTAATGGGCCTATTGAACCCAGGTGGAGTGCCTCATCAGGCCCAGAGTGACTTTGCCCTCTCGCCACTGACCGGAGGCCTGGAGCCTAACGGTGGCATGGCGGCCAGTTGTCATGGTTCCCAGCGTTTGGAGGCTCTCCCCGGCCTGACCAGTATGCCCACCTTGCCTAGCACCCAGTCTTACTGCCCCCCTTCCTACAGCACCCAAGCCTACGCCATGGACCACCATCCACCCTATCAGTATGGACAGTACAGTCAGAGCAAGGTACGCCTCATACACCCCACTCCTTAGGTGTTAACTTAACATGTGGTTTTGTACTGATTTAGGGCTTTCGTTCCCATATTTGTTTTAAATGACCTATAAATGGTAAGACGTCATACCCCTCTATAAACCCTAATCTGGCTGTGCGATTTAGTTGATGATTTCCAACTCACAACCCACGTTAATTGCTCGGTCCGCTCTGATGAGCTGGCTTCTCAAATCACCCTGCGCTCTTCTGAAATTACATGTATGACGGCGAGCACAAGTGGCCAGGTTACCTCAGTTTACATTACCGTCATCCAAGTGTCCACTTGGCCTGATGCGGAGGCATGTCCGGGTCCCATCCCATCACGCACAGTTTCACTCCCTGTCCTTTCATGAACCCGTATGATGAGCTTTCCCCATCAAACCCTGCGAGCAGCGCACCTAGCCGTGTAATGACCCCTGTGTAACGAAGATAGCCGCCCAAATGAAAGGAGCCACGTCCCAAAAGCGTGTTTGACAGGAGGGAGGGGGGAGGGGGGAGCGCGGTGCGTTGCGCGGGCTGATCTGAGGTACACTACCACATGTTGACCGACCCATCAGTGGCAACATCTTGATTTCATTAATTTAGCCAGTCCTGGGAGAGACCCACTTGTAGCTTTTTGTGGGGGGGGGAAGGTGGGGTTGGGGTAATGTGCACGTCTTTGTGTATAGGCCTATGTCAGTGCAGGCATGTTTGTGTGTGTGTGAGTATAAAAGGAGGGTAAGGGGGTCTTTAAGGGCGATTTGGGCCCTTGGCAGACCAGGATTGGAACCATGTGTCCCACTGGAGGTCAGATTTAGAGTTGTTATTGATCAGCGGAGCGAAGCCACAGATCCAGGGAAAGGCTCACTCTCAGACTAGTTTTGGCGACCACAGTATAGGTTACAAGATATCAGGGACATTCCGGAAGCTGGTCACCTGTTTTTACAGTTTGGTCATTTAACATCGGCCCCTAGTTCACATCTGGTCTTATGTGCTCCCTAATGCCTCCTATTCTTGCACCCACTTCTTCCTGTCGACATGACACATCTCATTCAACTTCACATTTGACTGTGTTAACATCAGAGGATTCGAGCTGGGGAAAAACCTTCCTTCTGTGTGTCCTTGCTCTCTTCAGGTGCCTTTCATTATATGAAGCCCCCAACATGGGCCTGACCAGGAGGCTTCCTGGGCCAGTCTGACATTCATCGCCGGAGAACTTCCCCACCCGCTGCCTCTGCCAAAGCTCCTCAGGCCAGACGACAGCAGGAGAGAAGCGGTTGAGGTTTTCTCCATCAGAAAGGGAACCAGTTGAGGCGGGGGTGTGGTAATGGCGATGGAGGGGTTTGACGGGAACAATTTGGACCAAAGGCCAGGAGTCTCTCCCGTTTCCTGGCGATCGCTTTGCTTGTGCTTCCTGTCACGCTCCAAGGACCAAGCCCCGCAAGTAGTCCATGCTTAAAGAGGAAAATGGGAGTAAAGACATTCAAGTCAAGATTATGTATTAGATTTTGTAACAAGTGGCAGAGAGGTGGACTTGGAAAGCCCCCTGTGTTTCTGGGGCCACTCGGTGGGGGGAGGGGCATTTTCTTACGGCCTGGTTATCAAAAGGCCAGATGATGATGCGCCCCAACCACATGTTCTTTCAAAGGGTCTCTACGTCATCATCTCTTAGAAAAGTAATATTTACTGTACATTGATGTGATTGTCCCATACGACTCTGGAGGTGAAATTACGACTACACCGGAAGAAACAGCAGAAAGGCGTGAATCCAGGCAGAGTGGAGACATGGCGAAACCACAGCAACCCAAAGAAAGTGCAATACATTCATACCTCATGTGATGTACATTTACACGGATCAAATGTTCCCAATTATACCCTCAAAAACTTGCTCTCTTTTTAATGTAATTAATTTTGGGTTTTGTGCATTGATCAATCAGGGGAAATCATCAGGCGATGAAAAATAGAAAACGTATTAGTGATGTCATTATGCCCAAAACATTCTCTGCCAGCGAGTATATTTTTAAGTCATTTTTTAATTTTGCTTATGTTCAATATTTCACCAGGAACTTGCAAACATGAGTTTCATTTCTTATTTATTTAGTTGTTGTTCAGCTGTTATGTCTCTTCTGTATATTTTGTATTAAGTGCGCTTAAGTGCTTAAATCTTACACAATGTTCATTATACATGATTTTTCTTTTGTATGATTTACATTTGCATTGGCGTAAAACGATTTTGTTGTAAGAAGTTTTGTGTACAATACAGCACTATTTACTATTTATAATAAACTATATAAAAATGTAAAGTTGGGACTTTGAATGTCATTCACGGGAAACCGTGGCAGTAACCAATGAGAAGACAAGTCATGTCCTCAATTGTGTATGTCTTTTCTTTTCAAAAGTTTAAATTTAAAATTTAAATTTAAAGTTTAAAGTGTTCAAATAAGACTTAGAAATTAGACAAAAAGGTTTCAAAGCCCTCAGAATTCACTCTCCAGAGTTTCGATCCTTGAAATTAAATTTAGAGGAGACAAAATTTGACCGGAAGTGAAAAGTACAAATTTAAGTCATTAAAAGATTACACAAATGTCATTTAATCTGGAATATTTCTCTTATTTCCCTTTCAAACATGCTGTTTCTCCACCTCCCATCTAAATCCAGATGAGCAGGACAGTGACAGTATGTACTCTGAGAGCTGCACCCCATGTGCACGCTCCCTGAGCACTAAATTATAAATATATCCCCTTTCATAAACACTCCTTTTGGACAAATTCCTGCTCCCTAGGGGCTCCTTCACACCCCGTAATGACTAAAGCAGAGCTGCTGTAAATTATATAAGCACATAGTCAGTCACTGACATAGCTGCACAGGGTTATGGCTCTCAGCGCTACACACACACAAATGAAAACACTGTTCACCCAGTTGGCAGACTCCTCAAAAAGTTACAGATATCAATGACGCATTTTTATCACTGCCGCGCAGTTTTTTTCCGTTCTTTTCTTCAGGATGTTTGGAGATCAGTTATGCAGCTGTCTATGTCATACCTAGTATATATATTAAGTAAAAATGCACGAGAATACACCAAATGTTTTGTTCTAAAAAAAAATTTCAATGCAATAATTTGGATCTCACCATATTTGTTTGGATGTTTATGCCGCCCAACACAATCAATAGATAAGATCAAGGCGACATCGCATTTTAGATTTTACTATTGCTTTACTCTCTATTTCTGTTTTATTTTTTAACAAGTGCTCAACTTGTAGCACACAATGAGAGGAGCGGAGTGTCAGTCAAGCAGCAACACACTGGAGACAACTTAACCCCTGACCCCAACCCTCTTTGAAATGAGCAGACTACTTGACCAGCGCTGACAACAATCCAAGCGTCTCTGCAGCATCCAAGAACCCAAAATGAAAGAGAAGGAAGGAGTACAAAGGGGACGGTTCCAGGACGGAAAAAAAATAGAGTTAAAAGGGAGCTTTAGAAAATGCTCTGAGCTAAGATGCGCTGGGAGACTTGTATTCATGGCATGTATGACTTATTCAGATTGATTTCTGATGAAATGACTGACAATGCTGTAGAATGAATTCTTAAAAGGAGGTCATAGTTGTTCTTTATGGTCTGGCTGCATCTACCAGGGTAGAAAGGGATTGGGTTTTATCTCTTAAATACCGCCTTATCAAGTCTCTTGAGGAGTGGGTGGATGACGCATGCGTGCCTTTCCTAAAGTGCTGAGTGCCCGCCTCTCACACTTTCCAGTCCCTTTCTCAGTTGCTCTGATCCCTTTGCTTGGTCTAATGTTTATTTTGTTCCTGTCCAAATTCTCATCTAAGTCTTTCGTTTTTGTCATGAAGCGCATGAACCGGACCGTCCTGCTGTCTCTTCTCACCAGATGCCATCAGGTTCTGGAGGACGCTGGTATGGACGCCAACGGACGGCAAATCAACGTCACGACGTCCAACTTCACAGCGAGTCCACCGTCCGGCACCAGTCCCGTGTCCGCCATCACAAGTTCCAGGGAGACTTACGACAACGCTTACTTTTACATCGTGTTTGTTATGGTCTTCTACTCCTTCCTTGCCATGACACTTTTAAAGTGCTTAGGCGGCGACGAGGAGCAAAAGGACCCCTCTGAGGAGTTCATAAGTACACAACAATTCAACACAGGCCGCGTGGTGGACATGCTTTCCTTTGAAGAGGAGAGCGGCTTGTGAGCTACAGGCTTTTTTTCAAGCAGGAGTGAGGTTAAGAACGCATGGGGGGGAGCGGGGGGATGTTTTGACAGTCACCAAGCCAGAAAAACGTCAGTGTCGACCACTCAGGCAAGACCTGCTAGTGATTTTGCAAAAACCTGTAGCAAGTTCATTTTCCTCCCTCTCCCCCCTCCATCTGACAATCAGAAATCTCATGCGAGCAGGCAGGCGGGAGGAGACGGCTGCCTCTGATGATCTGAGAGAAGGGTGGAAACATGGAGAAGTGTGGGTCAATGGCAGGCCGGAATCTCCTCCTGTGAGGCCCAATCAGGATCAATAACACCGGGGCCTTCGACATGCACACACACCACAGGGAACCAGGGATATCTCAGCAGACCGATGGTGTGGACAACACGGACGCTGTGTGTGTGTGTGTGTGTATGTTCCGTTCTCTGAATTCATTTGAATTAAAGATTAAATCGATATATAAATTGGTCTTTAATGCGTTTATTTTGAGACTGAATTTACAGAAAGTGTTTATTTAAATCAGTAAGGTTTTAATATGCGGTGTGGTGCAAGCACTTTGGCAAACATGATGACAAAATACAAATGCGTGCAAAAAATGTTGGCGAATAAAATGACATCTCCCTCTCTGGAAATTGGTCCTAATTAGAGCTGAAGGCCCGTGCACACATGCGATGGACAGGACGGAGCGACATTCCTTCGCCATTACGTTGTAACTGATCTTCGGGGGACTGGACGCGCCGCTACGGGGCCGCTGCAACCTCCCGGTGACCTCACATGATCTAAGTTTACAAAGCTGTGGCGAAACGTGAACCCGAGACTCGCTCTGCAGAATTAACTTCAATTGTGCTGCGGGATTTTGGAGAACAGCTCACGGGGAACACACGCTTCTGATTTGCGCCGAACATCGAGAACGCGAGGGGGACCTTTGCGACGCAGGACGGGAGGACGCATCAGGTCAGCGGGGATGGGGGGGGGGGGGGATTTTTTTTTTTTTTTTTTGCATTAAATTAAAACATCCGGAGTCAAATGTGGGTCTGGACTGACAATGCTGGTCTAATTTGAACTATCCGCTCCTAGAGGTTATGTCGGTGCCTCGGGCCATGTGGACCTGTTTCTTCTTCTTCCCTCATAATGAAATCTCTGTCTCATCCTCCCCTTGAAGTGCCGGGGTCACCACATGTAGATCCTAACAGCCAAACAACACCGCCTGGAAGTTTTGGGCAAGCTTCTCGAAACGTAACTAGTCCTTAACGAATACAAGGAACCAACAATTATCATGTTATCTAAGTATTTTTCATTGTACGGCACAGCAGAGTCCAGAAGAAACGTATTATAACGTAAGATGATGGGAAAATAATGGGATGGATATTGCTTTTTTCTTTATTTTCTCAATATAATTTCATATAGACCAGCCTGATTTGAGAGAAATTGATGAAATTGATGACATTTTTGAGGGATCTTCCCTATGATCATGATGATCATTCAGAAGTAGAAGCAATTGTACTTAATTATAGCCTTGGAATGTCCAGTAAAACCAAAGCATTGACGTCCCAATTTAATTGCACTTCAGTGCACACAAATCACATGTAAATCACACACTTACAGCACGTGCTATTATATGAAATCACAAAATAAAAGAGCTGCTTCTGGTTAACTGCATGAGAATTAATCTATATTTAGTTTATGCGAGTGAGATTGTCTGAATCTGGTTCAAACCTACCTAACAGGTAGAAACGGGTTTGATGTTTCCCATCTTAAAGTCCACAGCTGGATAGGGATTTGGGCCTGATACAATCTCTACAATCACATCATCATTTTTCTCCCTATGGGTTAAAACGGAGACTTTTTAATGCACAATCACCGTTTTAACATATGAAACGATGGATAGGGGTCCCAAAGGAAACACATATTACCTTTTAAACGGTTAACTCCTTTATTGGGTTACACAAATATCTGTTTCGCTAACTATACGGTGGTCCTGAACTGCGCCCTTTGGTCGTACTCTGTGTAAATGCTACCATCTAGTGGTGAAGATGTGAAACTACTGGTAGATTTGTACTATTGCCAGCACGTCGAACCGAGGTTTTATTGAACATGCAGACCCTGAAAACCACACTACTTTCCCAGCATCTAGAATATATGTATTCCTGCAAATAGGAGTTTTTGAAAGAGTTTTAGTAAAGAAAACAGTTAATTAACGTTGTTTAATATTTATGTCCTGCTGTCATCTCTTATTGATTTTGCAGTTTTGCACTTATCTACTGACAAGGATGTTGCACTACTTTTTATTTCATTAAAGATTAAAGGTTAACAACGCTGCTATGTGTTAACGTAAATGTATTCTCTCTATCCCATCTGCATACACAAGTGCAGATTTTTGTTAAAGATTTTAATAATCACAAATTACAAGAATTGTAAGTTTAGTTTGTTTTCCAGTTGTGTTTGAGCCTTAAAACATACATCATGACATCATCAGCAGCAACATTTCAATAAAAATCCATCCATCCATCCATCCATCCATCCATTTTCAACCGCTTATCCGGGGTCGGGTCGCGATATAAAAAAATTCAATAAAAATGCAAATTACATTTCTTATCAACCAGATACTATTATACCAGATAGCAATACCTTTTCAATTTAGAGTATTATTATCATGTGTATGTGTCCCATTCAACAAGTGCAAAATACACACATATTCAGACAGCAAAAGCTAGTTAACCTTGATTAAATAATATGGTACTGGTACAAATAAGACACATGTCATGTTTTGTTGTAAAACATCATGACACCCACTCGTATTTTCTGATTGCACATTAACAATTCTCTAAAGCCAGTAAAACAGCGCCCACTATATTGTGGTGTAGGGTTAGTGAAACTGCACCCATGCAGTCGCAGAAATCCAGATAAAGAGGGTTAGTAAAAAGTAAACTAACTCAGTGTCGTCAATGTCCACATTCCTGGAGAAGAGAACGGGACGCCATCAAGTCACACTGACAATGTGACTGCGTGGGTGTCTGCGTGGGTATTTGTTGGAATCGACCCTGTCACAGTATAAGCTTCATGCATATGCGTCATTTGCCAAAAGGGTCTAAAAAAACATGCAGTTTATGGATCATGTAATATCTCTGTAATATCAAGATATTTCCTATTGAAATACTTGAGCTTCGTATTGCTTTGCTGAATTTTAATGGGCATTTTTGCACAACTTTTTAGCCCAAATGATTAATTTAGTAGTCAAGAAAATTCTAGACGGATTATGTAATTGATTAAAAAAATAATCCCTTCCTGAAGCCATGGGTTGTTTCACTACTATGAAATCGTAATACAGATCTGAATTTGTGAACATGTCTTACCCATTGAGAGGACCTGCTGGTCTCATATAACAAAACCCTGCAGTTTAAATTGACCGGAACAACAGTGCCAGTTTTATTGCCAGTATTATTAAACCTTTGGCCCATCATCCTTCCTTTAAGAGTGTGAATACTACTCGCAGACCCTGATACAGCCAATCAGCACTGCCTCCGTAGACATCCAGTTAACCCTCAATGGATTTGATCTGATTTTCCTCCCCAATACCCAGACCGTATATATCTCTCTCCCTATAGAGATATATAATGGATGGTGTAGTTTTTTTTAGAGTAGTGCAGCCTATTACAGTAGATCTGCAGCCACACTGATGCTTCCATTGGTTGAATCATAGATATAGGCCTTTTCCCGAGTGATCTGTCTGATAGTCAACAAACACATTTATGTGGAAGAAAAGTGTAAATAATTGTGTGAAAATGTTAACATTATAACAGTTAAATGCTTAACTGAATTTCCATGGTGCTCACGGCACCTTTACTTGAGCTGATGGTTGAATCCTTTTTCTGGTTTATAAAAATCTTTGCTCCCATCTGCTGGTTAAAATGGGACACTTGGTGGTTTCTTTCAGTGTTGTCCCAGCAACGAGGACGAGAACAGACTTGTGAGCTCACTGCGTAAGCATGCTAAGGGAGGCATTGAGATCTTCGGGAGAATCTTTAAGCTACTTAAAACCTTTACATAATTGAGCTTCATTTGTATTTATAAGAACAGAATTAGTTATTTGTTATTCTTAGTACCTATTTAATTGTAACAATGGCGTCAGTACAATTAGCACTGATAAATGACCTCTCACCAACAAGTACTTTATTTAATTGATTATAACCTCAACTGAGGCAGAGTGTTGACTAAAAACCTCAAAGTCAGAGACCTTATTCAGCAGGACCTTTTTAAAAAACATTTTTTATTTTCAGTGGAACTATTAGACTGTGTCAAGAAGGCAGATGAAGCCACACATGAGCCTGAAATGATTTGAATAATAGAAACACGAATGTAACCACAGTGCGTGTTTATTAGAGCAAAGAAGTTTAAATAGAAAACCTTCCAATTAGATTCCAATTACACAGTATGCAAGCAACATTTTGTATAATCATTTATTGCACATTGATCGTCTTTCCAACAATAACGGATAGTGATGAATAATCCCATGTAGTCATGCATTATCATTATTAAGGCATATGCACACCTGTTTGTTTGGCAATGACACAAACAGTTGTCTGATATATAGCCACAGAGCTCAATGATATTGCGAAGAAGCAAAGATGTTTGAGATTTCTACTTTTTTTAAAATTGACTTGAAAGATTCTTGAAACAATGCAACATTGCTGATTGATGTTAGCGTAGTGGTGCATTTAGTTATGTCTTGTAACTCATGATGCTTTGGGTTCTGGTGTACCCCTCTAAGAACTTTCACTATCAAAGCAGTGGAAAAGTTTTCATTGTCCTGTATTTATATCAAGATGAAAGAAAACCCTCAGTCCCTCAGTCACATCAGTCCGGCTGAAGTTGTGTCTGTCGATTTTTTGAGAAGAAATGTTGCCTCATTAAAAGATTGAATCAACATTATTTCTGTCTGAATTCTCGTTAGCTGCCGCAATGATTCTTCTGCTCGTGGTCAAAGCCGTCACGGGTCATTTTATGAGCCATGTCTCATTCTTGCATCATCTGGTGTTCACACTCTCCAGCTGTCTCCAAACTTTTTGATGCTCTTGGCCCTGGTACCATCTGGCTTCATCAGGTCGTTCCCCTTGTGGCCGTCAAAGTTCCCACACAGACCCCCCACTTTCCTTTTATACAAGTTTGGTAAAATGATCTCTGTGGAAACATAAACAATGCAGCATTACTCAATCAATGTAAAACACTCATTTAAGGAAATAACCCATTAGGTTAACATGGGATGGAATGATATTGGGTTAGGGATTTCAGGATTTGATGATGAAACCCACAAACAGTGAATTCTATTGATTAACAAGGGTCCAGATGAGTTACCTGCTGCGTTGCGTCCGTCAAACTCCACGGAGAGGCCAAAGTCGGTCTTCAGGTAGATGCGAGAGGAATGCAGGGAGATGTTTAGACCAGCAGTTGGTGAGGTGGGAGTTTTGGTTTCCCTTCCATCCACCTGGAGTGAGACAGAAGCGGGTCAATGCAGCAGGTCAGTGACATTCATCATATTTAAGTAAACTTGTTTGATGTAGTTTTTCTATGATTTGGTGTAAGAGTTTACAAAACATACATTTTTAGCAACACTGTCAGGGGGAACTCAGTGAGTGCTTGTCACGGTGTGGTTCACTTCCTGTCTTATTTTGTAGTTTTCTGCCACTCGTGTCCCCGGGTAACTTCACTTCCTGCCTTGTCCTGTCATCCCCTGTGATCGTCTAATAGTTTCCACCTGTGTCCAATCACCTGCACCTCCTTGTGTATTTAAGCCGTGTGTCTCTTGTGTCACTTGTCGCGTCATGGTCTTTCGTCGTGGATGTTCGTAGCTCCTGTCTGCTGTTTTTCCCCTGGTTCCTGTGTGTTTTTGCCCCTTGGCCTTTTGCTTTTGCCTTTTTGACAATTAAAGTCTTTCGCTTTCCAAGAAGTCTGCGTTTGAGTCCTGCCTCCTCCACGCATCCCTGACAGTACTCAGGTTGAACTATTGAATGAATTCCCATGAAATTGGATCCAGACATTCATAGTTTTTATAAACAAAAGCTGTCAAATTGCCTTGTTATTAAAACAAAAATGGCCCTGTTAGTATGAGGATGACTCAAATTCATGATGACTCATGATGATCTTGTTGTACAACAAAGTGGGATGCATATATATCTAAAAAAAGTAAAAAAAATAGATGCATTTAAATACTGATTTAGACCGTGATTACCAAGTCAGTGGGCAATGCTTTGGAGCATTAGCGCAAGCCTTAAATTAACATTTTTAAAACTACAGCAGCGACATGGTGGTGTGATGGTTAACACTGTCGCATCACAGGAAGAAGGCCCAGTGGCCTTTCTGTGTGCAGTCTGAATTTTCTCCCCGTGTCTGCATGGGTTCTCTCCGGGGACTCTCTCTTCATCCCACACTCCAAAGACATGCTCTGGAGATCAGCTTGATTGGTAACTCTAAATTGCCCGCAGGTGTGAATGTGAGTATGAATGGTTGGATGTCTCTGTGTGGCCCTGTGATTGGCTGGCGACTAATCCAGGGTGTGCACCGTTTCTTGCCCAAAGTTGTCTGGCATAGACTCCAGCCCCCCTGCGACCCAGTGTGCAGGATAAGTGGTTTGCAGATGGATGGATGGAAAACTACAGAAAATTTAAAGTTGTTGCTTCTCGTTATGCTTAAGCTTAATAACCGTGTTATTCCGCTAATAATTTACATGACTCTGAATGCCTCTGACAAAGAATATTGCAGCTTTTTTACATTTCTTTTGTTTACTGGAACAAACACGCACACAGATGCATGTGCAAAGGGCCAATAGGGAAAAAACATATGACAAAGCATAATGTATTGGACGTCATCTGCCTCACCGCTGTCTTTAAAATATGAGGGAGCAGTTATTTTCCTCAGTGCTTTCCCAAATGTCTGTGGGTGGACAAAATGTGAGGATATTACCCCATTAACAGTACCGTCCTGAAAATGAAATTAGTTGGAGGCAGAGTGTTGTTAAAATGCCTCTGATACTCACAATCAGCCTGCAGTTTTGCTTCAATACGACAGTGTGATCATATACTCTGATCTTAAGCTCTTGTAATCTGTGGTGTTCCTTGTGCTCTTCACTGTCGTCATCATGTTTGCTGTCATCATCATCATCGCCCCTCGACCTGCGGCTGTTGTCTTCTTCACTGCTACCGTCACCATGATGCCGCCTATCTTTCTCATCATCGAGGGTATTGGTGCCCTCGATGTAGACATGTGGAAGGTAATACGGCAAGTTGTTGGTGCTGACCAGCACATATGAGTACTTTCCCTCAAAGTCAAACTTCATTTCATCAAATGTTCTGTACTCAGGATCTCCCCTGATAGTGCACTCTCCGAAGCCTGTGAAGCAACAAGTGTAGCGTGATTCATGAGTGAGTGGACAAGATATAACATGAATTAGATACTTCACAGAGTAAAATGTTGACATTTACGGCACCTGTAGACTGGCAGTAATAATTTCCCGCCTCATTTTGAAGGCAGACAGCTTTTCCATCGCACTCATCTTTGTCATCGCAGTCAATCTTTCCCACGCCGTCGTCTTTCTCACATTCACATTTCTTACTGCAGTGATCGGTGTACCACTCTTTATTGAACTGATGAGAAAAAAAAATCATTATACTGTGAGAACATCATTGTCCATATGTAACATTTATGGCAAAAAATACTATATAGTATTTGACCTTATATACAACCGGAGCTATTGATGAAGAGTCATTTTGACACTCACGTTGTGTGTGGTGCCATTCCTGTCCACACAACCACATCGTTGGATAGGCACACAGGCCTTACTTGTACGCACAAAACCGTCATCACATACACATCCCTTCACACAACCCTCATGGTCACTGCAATCCGATGGGCCATTCAGGTGTTCACAGGTTGGACTGCATTGTGGGACGCAAGTGGTGTAATGACTGTTCTCAGGGCAAGAGGGTGCTAGGGAGACATAATGGAAAGGACAGAGTACACTTACTCATACATTTATAATGTCTTGGTCCCCGGACACTATAAGAAACCCAGTCCATGTTTTGGATAGAGAAATACAAACATCAAACTTACTTGGTACATGTGTAGTTTGTGGTTGTGGTGTGGCTGGAGTTGTAGGCAGAGGTCTACCTGTTGTTGAATGTGGTTTATTGGTTGTTGTACGCTGTGGGGCAGTTGTTGTTGTGGAATGTGGTCCTGCTGTTGTTGGTGGGTGGGGTACGGCTGTGGTTGGGGGTCCATTGGTAGATGTAGTTAGTGGTTCCGGACTTGCTGTTGTTTGAGGTTTCTCTGTAAATTCATGCTCTGGAGTTCCAAGTCCTGTTGTTGGTGGGTGGGGTCCGGCTGTGGTTGGGGGTCCATTGGCAGATGCAGTTGGTGGCTCTGGACTTGAGTTTGTTTGAGGTTTCTCTGTAAATTCAGGCTCTAGTTGCTCTGGAGTTCCATCTCCTGGGTGCCCTGTTGTTTGTGGGTGGGGTCTGGCTGTGGTAGGGCTTCCATTAGTAGATGTAGCTGGTTGTTCAGGTCTTGCTGTCATTTCAGGTTCTGGATGCTCTGGAGTTCCAAGTCCTGAGTACTCTGTTGTTGGTGGGTGGGGTCTAGTTGTGGTTGGGGGTCCATTGGTAGATGTAGTTAGTGGGTCCGGACTTGCTGTTGTTTGAGGTTTCTCTGTAAATTCAGGCTCTGGAGTTCCAAGTCCTGCTGTTGGTGGGTGGGGTCCAGCTGTGGTTGGGCTTCCATTAGTAGATGGAGCTGGTTGTTCAGGTCTTTCTGTCATTTCAGGTTCTGTATGTTCTGGAGTTCCAAGTCCTGTGTACTCTGTTGTTGGTGGGTAGGGTCTGGTTGTGGTTGGGGGTCCGTTGGCAGATGCAGTTGGTGGCTCTGGACTTGCTGTTGTTTGAGGTTTCTCTGTAAATTCAGGCTCTGGTTGCTCTGGAGTTTCATGTCTCGGGTACTCTGTTGTTGGTGGATGGGGTCTGGTTGTGGTTGGAGGTCCAGTTGTGGTTGTTGTTATTGGTTTGGATGTTATCGGTTGCTGTGGCCTTGTTGTTGGTATATCGGTATTTGTTGTAAAAGTAGCTGTCAGTGTGGGCTGTGGTTTTGATAAAGTTGACGAATGTGTTTGTGTAGCAGTTGTGGGAAACTCTGGACCCACCGTCGCAACTAGAGGGAAAGTTGTGAGAACAGGGATTTGAAGTTTAGGTTGCTCTGTGCCTAGATTTCAAAAGTTGTATTGTCAGTTATGACGTGTGCGATTGAATATTAGTAGGAAGACAGAAGACAGAGAAGAGTTACCTGTGCAGGATCCGCGATAAAGTATTACATCATCTATGGCAACATCAGACTGGATGTTAGAACCTCTTCGGCCCTCAAATATGATCTAAAACAAAATACACATGTTACAGCACAACGCGTTAAAACATTCTGAGTCCAATCACAATCATATAGTGTAGACATTAATAACGTTTGCTCTGCTAGTTTCTAACATTCGACTTGTTTAATGTTCACCTGGAAAGCTCCAGTTGTTGTGATGTCCAACTGAGCAGGCTGCCACACATTTCCATGGTCATTTCTCTTCCACCAAACAGCATCGGCCACTCTGTCCTGGAGAAGGTAAACATGGAGGCCCATTGTATCCGCTGAGCCATACATATGGTACCAGAACTGCAGACATTGAGGACCAGAGTCAGAACACTCAGAGCTGATGAGACGAGCCGTATCTCCATGTGACGCGTTGTTGGCTTCAATGTAAAGATAGTGTCCACCTGGTTAAGGGAGTAAGACATAGGCCAGTTACAATAATGCACAGCATGTTTAAACAAATGTTCCTAGATCATTTTATACATGGTTTCTTCCTGTGTATTCCAAGTCCGTCGCCCCGGACAAAGTGTGCTTGGGTACACTTAAGGTTGGTGGACTATGGACCACCTCTTCATTTGAGTGACAAGACACTCCTAAAATATCAACCTTCCTGGTGAAAACCTTTTGGAAGTCTAACTGTGCTATATATCAACATACAGCGTGGAGAGGACGCTGGCGCTGTTCTGTTCGTCGCTTTTCCGCCCGTCTGTCCGTCTGCTACCGTTTTCCTTGTCTGTTTGTTTGTTTGCGTTTGATGTGACTACCACTGGACAGTCGCTGCACCTCGGGACACCCTCTCTCCTAGTTCCCGAACCCGCCTGGACTCCTCGACCGGACTCTCGCCTCTTCGACTAGCCGTTAGCTATCACGGAGCTTCCAGTCCCTTCGCTCGGCACCATGATCTAATATTCAACTCTGCAACTGGTCCAACTCAACAACTACTTCATTCCATCCTGCATCCCAATCATCAGACAACTCGGACTTCTACGTCGACCCCATTACATCCACAAAAGTTCAACGTTGCAAGTTTGTTTTCTTCCACCACGGACATTCCATTCCATCCATCTGGTCACCTGCACACTCTGTCGCACCGGTCCCACGTCATCAGAATGCTTCACCCACTGGCTCTCATAGGACTGAACGCACCATCAGGCTGCACAGAAAACCCGGACTGGACTACAGTGCTTCTGTTCCCACTCAACTGCAACACCCCGACACCCCACCGACCACACGCGCTGCTAACCTGGACATCCTCAGATCTCTCCAGCCTGCCCCCATCCCACCACCCTCTTGCCATGCCAACTTTGCCCTCCTCAACACCCGATCTCTCAACAATAAAGCCCCCATTCTCCATGAACTCATCCTGGACAATTCACTGGACTTCCTCCTGCTCACTGAAACCTGGCAACAACCCAATGACTACTTCTCCCTCAACCAAGCATCCCCCCCAATTTCGGCTATCTCTGCAAACCCTGCCCCTCCCGGCGTGGAGGGGACGTCGCTGTAATATTCAACAAAAACTTCAGGACCATCGAACTCACTTTCCCCACAGTCACTTCATTCGAATTCCTCGCCTTCAAAACCTGCTCCAACACAGTTATTCTCACTTACCGGCCACCTAAACCAAATTCATCCTTCATCTCCGATCTGTCTGAACTCCTTATCCTAGCTTCATCTTCCCCGCTACCACTACTTCTAGTGGGCGACTTCAACATCCACATGGACTCCCCCACCTGTAAACTTGCCTCGGATTTCTCTGCTCTACTGGACAACTTCAACCTCACCCAACACATCACCTTCCCCACACATAATAAAGGCCATATTCTGGATCTCGTCTTCTCTGCCATCGCCCCGGTTCTGAACATTCAATCTTCCCCCTTTGCCCTATCTGATCACAAACTCATCCATTTCACAATGCCTTCCCCATCACCCCGTCTGAAACTCCCCAGAGTCATCTCATTCCGCGACATCAAATCCATTGATCCCCTCCATCTCTCTGACCTGCTATCTGCTACCCTACCTGGACCCACCCCCCACCTCGCCCGATGATCTCACCAACCACCTCAACGCCACCCTGTCTGCCTCCCTCAACAAACTGGTCCCCCTGAGAACCAAAACTGTTTCATTCAACACCTCCTCCCCCTGGTTCAAACCCCACCTCAGAAAACTCAAATAGACCAGCCGCCAACTCGAACGCCTCTGGAGAAAATCTTCACTCACCGTTCACCTTGAAGCCTACAAATCTCACCTCATCATCTACAAAGACGCCATTACTGCTGCCAAATCTCACTACTTCTCCAACATCATCAACAACTCCACCCGCAACCCCCGAACACTCTTCTCCACTGTCAACACTCTCCTCAAGCCTCGAGCCAATACCCTCACTGACCCCTCGCCTGATCTATGTGACTCATTTCTTCAGCGACAAAATCACCACGATCAATAATTCACTGCTCCCTGTGTCTGACCCAGCAGCAACGACACCAAGCCCCTTTTTCTCCATCCTGCTCGACCCCTTGTCCCCTCCTCCCCTACACCGCCTCTCCCGGTTTGACCCTGTTGACTCGGCAACCATTGCCAAACTCATCAGCACATCCAAGCCCACCACCTGCTCCCTGGACCCCCTCCCACCTCCCTGCTGAAGTCCTGCCTCCCTGTGCTATGCCCCTACCTCACCGACCTCTTTAACTTCTCACTGTCCCATGGACTTGTCCCCTCAGCCTTCAAAATAGCTGCTGTCACCCCCATACTCAAGAAACCTGGCCTAGATCCCTCCTGTCTTAATCACTACTGCCCTATTTCCAACCTCCCCTTCCTCTCTAAAACCCTTGAATGCCTGGTCTCCACCCAGCTTCAATCCCACCTGCATTCCAATAAACTGTTTGAACCCCTTCAATCTGGCTTTCACCCCCTACACAGCACAGAAACTGCACTCCTCCATGTCCTCAATAACCTCCTCACCTCTACCGACACCGTAGCCCTCAACATCCTCATCCTCCTGGACCTAAGTGCAGCCTTCGACACCGTGAGTCACACTATCCTGTTCACCAGACTCCAAGCCATCGGTATCGAAGGTACTGCACTCAGCTGGCTCTAGTCATACCTCATGAACAGATTTCACTTCATCCCCCTTCACAAAAACTCCTCTGCCACATCCACAGTTACACAAGGTGTCCCCCAAGGCTCTGTACTAGGTCCACTCCTGTTCAAAATCTACTTATTCCCTTTCGGTCAGATCCTTCGTCACTTCAACCTGGACTTCCACTGCTATGCTAACGACACTCAGATCTACCTCAGCACCAACACCCCTCACAACCCATCGCTCTCCCACATCAACGCCTGCCTCTCTGCAATTAAAGCCTGGATGCAACAGAACTCTCTCAAACTCAACAGCGACAAAACACAACTCCTCCTCATCGGCTCCAAATCTACCCTCACCAAAACCAACAACCTCACACTCGACATCGATGGCATCTCGGTTTCCCCCTCCCCCCAGGCACGCAACCTTGGTGTAATATTCGACTCCACCCTCTCCCTTGAGACACTCATCCGTCAACTGGTCAAAATATCCTTCTTCCACCTACGCAACATCGCAAAAATCCGTCCGTCTCTCACACCCCCTACAGCAGAGAAACTCATCCACGATTTAATTTTCTTCCCGTCTTGACTATTGCAACTCACTCCTCTATGGCATCAGCAACACCTCCATTAATAAATTACAACTGGTCCAGAATGCAGCTGCACGACTACTCACCCACACCAAATCACGGCACCATATCACCCCAGTCCTGAAAGACCTCCACTGGCTCCCGTCTCCCACCGGATCTCCTACAAAATCTTGACCCTCACCTACAAAGCCCTCAACCAACTTGCACCTCTCTATCTCTCTGAACTCCTTTCCCCCTACCAACCTCATCGGTCACTCAGATCCACTTCGGCCAGACTACTTTTCACCCCCACATCCAAACTCCGCAGCTTTGGGGACAGAGCATTCTCCAGGGCAGCTCCCAAGCTCTGGAACTCACTCCCCATTCTCATCAGAGACTCCGACTCCATCACCACATTCCAGTCCCACCTCAAAACACATCTTTTCTCATCTGCTTACCCGTAGCCCCCTCCCTTCCCCTACCCTTCAGTCTATTTAGTTGTATGTGATCGGCCCGTATATGTCGCCCCTCGTGTCTTGTCTCCTGCCTGTCTGCCTCACACCGTCCCCCCTTCGACTATGTTAAAGCCTCTTTGAGACATTTAGAAAAGTGCTATATAAAATCAATTATTATTATTATATGTCAAACCGGCAAAGAGTGTGCTTACAGTTCTACAGAAAATTTGCAGAGTCCTTTTACTTATTATATCTTAAATTACCTCCTGTTGTGTGATCTGAAGAGGGCCCAGTCATTGTAGTAGGAGTGGAGCCACTATACCTTGTCCAATCAAAAGCATCAGTAAGAAGTTGATCCCACTGACATAAATCTTGGTCAAAATTGCAGTTGAGTTGGCATACTGGAAAGGAAAGTCAGACATTTGATTACTGGAAACCCCCAAACTGGATTTAGAAAATATAAACGATGGCGGCCCCAACACCAATTAAAAGTGGTTCTGTGGAATTAGCACTGCACCTGGTGGCGGTCTCTCTGCAGCTTCAGTAACATTTTCTCCATTAATGAAGTCAGTTTTTGCTTCTACTGTTGAATGTACGGTGACATTTGCTACAGGAGGTCGAGCTGTAACGGGGAGCTGAGCAGTAACATTGACCACAGGGGGCTGTGGAAACACAGTGGTTGGCACCAGGACCATTGGAGGACTTGTGTTTTCATCAGGTTTAGGAGGACTTGTTGTCACACCACTCACATCTGCAACAGTTCAAGAAAGGTTAGTACATGCAAATATTTCAAACGTTATCAATCTATATACAGCCTTAAGATAAATAACATAGATAATAATACATTTTTTTAGGATTTAGAGGTAGGTCTACTCACCAGGGCATTGTCCACGATACAGCTTTACGTCATCTATTGCCACATCAGACTCTTCGTTGGAGCCTCTACGCCCTTCAATAATGATCTTAAGTTCGGGGGAAAAAAAAAAATATATATATATATATATTTTTAGTTGACTTGTTAGTTGACTCTTAGTCTGACAATCTTAATAAATAATTGAATCATTAGTGCCTGGGGAGAGGTGTCTGACCTGGAAAGCTCCAGTTGTTGTGATGTCTAACTGAGCAAGTTTCCAAATATTTCCATTGTCATTTCTTTTCCCCCAAAGAGCATCGGCTACTTTGTTTTGTAGCAGGTAAACATGGAGTCCCATTGTATCTGCTGAGCCATACATATGGTACCAGAACTGCAGACATTGAGGACCAGATTCAGAACACTCAGAGCTGATGAGACGAGCCATGTCTCCATGTGACGCGTTGTCGGCTTCCATGTAAAGATAGTGACCATCTAGAAAGGAGGAATGAAAATTTCAATACACCTTCCATTATGATAAAGATTTCTCTTAACTCTGTAAATGATTTAGAATATCACATGAATAAAGAATATATTACCACCAGTGTGGTCAGCAGATGGCCCAGTCATCGGGGTTGAGGTGGAACCATTTTGCCAAGTCCAGTCCAAAGTATCAGTCACCATCTGATTCCAGCTACAAAGGTTGCCGTCAAAGCTACAATCCATATTGCAGACTATGAGGGAAACATTTGCAAAAAAACATGAACTAAATGTTTAGGCCATTATGCAACTTCCTAAATTTAGACAATATTTAACTTCAACTTACCATTCAAAATTGTTCAGTCAATAGACATACATGTTAATTTGTAACAACACTTGAGCTTTGTGATGAACAAGTGAACCATTAAATATTGCTTCCTGTGCACTTACTCGGAAGTGAGGGGGGGACCGCCGCTGTTAGGGAGGGAGGCACAGTTCCACTGCCCAGGCCAGGGAAGTTACCTAAAGGACGTCAATATTGATGGTGTTAAAACCATGACATATCTGTTATTGCCATAGTTTATTGATATATTTGCAACATCGGGTTATGTTATTATTATATGGTCAATCCAATTTAAAGTGTTTTGTTCTCCCTTTTAGTTGGAAGTGAATGTACCTGAACATGAGCTAAAGTGGATGGAAATGTCATCTATGGCCACATCTGATTGAGTATTAGAGCCTCGAATTCCCTCAATAATCATCTGAAAGAGGTATTAGTAAAGTAAAATGTGTTATTGTAAAAAATAATGAAATATTTTAGTCTCCTTTATTGTCTTTACTCAGAGTTAGACTTACTTGGAATGGACCAGACACTGGAATGTCAACTATTCCTGGATGCCATTCTGGTCCCTGGTTGTTCATCATGACCCAAAGCTTGGTAGCTTTATTGTCTTTGAGCAGATATATATTGAGCGCCATGGATGTGGCTGAACCATACATGTGGTACCAGAAGCGCAGGCAGAGTGGGCCATTGTAATGGCACATTGAGCTCCAAAGACGAGCTGAATCTCCATGGGTTACATTATTTCCTTCAATATACATGTAGAAACCAGCTAGAGAATGTAGGAGAACAGCACATTAAACAAGAATGATGAGGTGCCAATGAAACAACACAACAGATGTGGTAGTGTGGCCGGACAATGTGTCTACCTCCAGTGGTGTGGTCTTGGTTTGGTCCGGTCAAGCTTGATGGGGTTGATCCAGAATGTCTTTTCCAATCAAAACTGTCCTGTAAGAGTTGCTCCCAACCACACAGGTTTTTTTCAAAGTCACAGTTTATGGGACAGACTAGGAAAAATCATATAAACACAAGGGATATCGTGAGTCTAATCAGCTGTTAAAAAGCCACTGATAATACACACCTGTAACAGATTAACCATTTCCACCCCTGCATGCCCTTACGAGTATGATCTGTTGTTGGAGAGGTAGCAGTTGAAGGTGTTGGATGAGCTGTAGTGGTTGGGGGCTCAGCTGGAATTGGGAGGACAAAACAAAAAGCCAAACAAACAAACAAAAAAAACCGATGTGAGTTCACCACCTCAGCCCTCTTGGCACCCTAAAAGATATTGAGGTCGGCAACCCCATCATATAACCATATACTATCTACAACTGTGTTTTGCCATATAGTGATGTTAATAATAAAATGGTTAACTTTTAACCAACCCAAAAGTTATTTTGACCGATTAATGTTCAAAACGGACGATATTCAGCAGAAAGAAAGTTCTAATTTGGCATAGAGTAGCACACACAAACAAGATGTTGTCAGTGTGGAAGTTAACGACGACAAAGCAATTTGTAATAAATACAAAACAAGTTGTACAGGAAAAACCTTAACCGTTACTAACTTCATTATGCACTCAGTAAAAAAAAAGGATATTTGGTGAAGGTAAATTCTAATGTCATGATCAATTCAAATGTACAAATGTTTTTTGGAAAAAACTTGGTGTTTTGACCTCTAGTCCCAATATAGACATTTTAATCAATTAAAACATTCTATCAAGTTGGTTGCAACAAAATATCATTGTTTATATTCACAGTTTAACCACAAAGTCATAATCATCCTCAAATTGGACTGAAAGTCTCACCGCAGGCTGTGTTTGATTGCCAGTTGGGCAGCTCCACTCCTGCAAACTGGCATGCTGCTGCATAGGACTTGAGAGATTCACACAGGGTGTGTTGATCACCATTGGTGGCGCAGTAGTCATAGACACAACTATTGAGGTAGATGTTTGGGTGAATGAGTTCATGGCAGGGTTTGAAGGCGTCCCCCAGTAGGGTGTAACACTCATTGTAGGCCTCATTCTCCTCATGATAATCACAGTGTCTGGGATCACTTGGATGGGAAATACACCTGGATGAAAAAGGTTAGATAATGAAATATACTTCTAGAGGTTTAAATATATTGTTCAACATTAGAACAAGACAGAATTAGGTTTATTAATCTGTAGAAGTCCAAGCATATAATAAATCAGAACCATTCAATAATTTGTTAATTAGCACAAATCGCAAAGGACAACTGAGGCAGATCGGTATATATAGTTGGAAGCGTTGCAACCCCCCCCCCCCCATTTATTTTCTCCCCTCCCATTGAAATAGCATGTTTTATTCTCCCTTTGGAGGTATTGAAATGTCCTAACAATCGTTAGTGCAGATAACCTAGTGCAGATACCCTTTATAGTAGAATAGCTTACTCATTGTCCCCTGGCAGTCTCCAGCTGTCACCAAACTCTAATGACCCCGTAGCATTTTGGCCTCCTGGTGTTACGAAGTCATCATCTTGACGTTCAGAGTAGGTGCCACACAATCCGCACAGTTCATATTTGTATTGCTCATCGACCTCCAGGAAGAGTCTGTTCCTTGCATCTATCGTCATTCTGAGGCCAAAGGTTGTCTCCAAGATGATGTAGTTTTTCTTTTGGTGGACCCATACTGAGCCGAATGTGCCATTGGTGGAATAGGGCAGTCGGACGAGGCTATTATTCACCTAGAAAGATGACAATCAAAGATAACAAACAAGGTACTTCCCCAAATTGCCAGACACAGTAATAACTGCCCCCATATAAACATGAGTCGTTCTGATACTAAATTTACTACCCACAGTCATTAATAAATTACTGTAGATAACACTCCAAATCCTGTAAGCAGATGACTGATTTGTAAAACAGCCTCTGATTCACATGCTATAAAAGAGCTGGGATTGTTTGATTTGTTGTGTAAGTACAAGGAGATTTTATGCTTACATAGACCGCTCCACTCTGATTCAGAGTGAGGTATAGATCCTCAACCTGAAGAGCAACCGCTTCAAGCTTGGATCGGGTGTTCTGAAGGGCGGGGTGCATGTTGTGTCCAATCACAGTGAACTGGACTGAGCTTTCCTTTGCACACGTGGTAGTCAGTGTGTAACTGCAGCCTCCTTGAAAGTCATATGCCATCCCATCGAAGGTTATGTAGTGTGGATCACCATAGACGCTGCATGTAGCAGGCTTAAAAGGGAAACAGCCTTTCACCCCATCCTTGACCTTGCAAATCTCTTTGTCTGCGCATTGCATTGTGGTGCATTGCATGTCATTGTTACCCATGCACTGACACAGTTGCTCACATTCTCCCTTCGAGAATGTTGCTCCATTCTGCAAGCAAAAGGGAGTTGTGTGAATAAATTCACGCACTGTGGAAGTGAAAGGGTGAATATAAAATGATTATCTGCTAACCCACTTACCTCATAGTGATTTCCATCATACCAGCACCCACAGTCCTCTGCTGGGACGCAATTTCCCCCACTGAGCTTTAAGCCAGAGTCACACTCGCATCTTTCCTCACAACTTCCACAGGGGCCAACTATATCCAAACTGGAGCATACCTCGGGACAGCCATCGGCACATGCGTTATAGTGGCTGTTCTCACCACATAGCAGAGCTAAGAGGAGGGCAGGAGAAAGGGTGGAAAGGTCAGAGGGATTAACTTACCTCTAATCGGCCACTATTCCCCATATTTTAATAACACGGGGCAAACACATAATAGCACAAAGCAGTAAAGCTACATACGGCAGTATGAAGAGTTCCTCCATATGGGTATGGAGACTCCAGCCTCCTGGCAGATATCACTGTACACCTGTAATACCTCACACAGTACCGTCGGGTCACCATGGCTGGAGCACATGCTGGCCACACAGCCCCTGAAGTAGCTCTCTCCCTCCAGAACTGATAGGCAGTCAGCAAAGGGCCCACTACTGGAGCGGAGGCCTCCACAGTACTGCTCACTGGCATACTCGGCCGCCTGCAGGGGGTCACACTGATGAGGTACAAGAACGGTTTCACAGGCGGAGGTGGCCTGCCCAGACTGCCAGCTCTCTGCAAAAGCTGTTGCGTTTTGGGCAAATGTTCCGTCGGGCTTTCTGAAGTCGTCTCGTCTGTCGTGGTTATAGTTTCCACACAACCCACAGACTTTATCAGAGTAAAGAGACGGTAGGGTGACATGGACTGCACCAGTGTTGTCATACGAGACTAAAAGGCCAAAACCGGTTCCCAGTTCGACAGCAGCGGGGTGGCTCTTGATGTTGACAGTGCCACTGCTGAGGCTCAGCGGAAGCTTCTTCCAGACCCCATTAACCTGCGGAACAGTATGACTTTCAGACATCTTATTGGTTGTCAGTAATCAGTAATATGGACTTACTTTATATACCGGTTTGCACAAAGAGCACTCTTCCGGAGAAAGATATAACTTTGTGAAACGATAAGTCGGATAACTCCAGGACATCATGCCACTTAACTTTAAGATAAACTACTGTTTATCAGTAGATGGGGCCGCAGATATGGGAACTCCTCGATTCATTACATTATAGCTCAGCACTCATTGCATCATAAAGGCAAGGTCTTATAAAACTGAAGTTGTACGAACCATATTAATGATGACAATAATATGAGATTTAAGGAACAAAAAATACTGTTTCCTTTAGCCATGAAAAATACAATTGTTGACATTTGATGTGACATCAATTGTATAAATAGCTCAGTTCAGAGTAAACTGAACATAAACCAGTGTCAAAAATGTGAGGCCTCGTGGTTGTAGTTTATAAAGCATAAGCCAAAACATGCACTATTTTTGTATAAACACAGGAGAAAACTAGCCTCCCTTTTTAAGAGAGCATGATGTTATCTATGGAGAAGAATTGTCCATATAATATATCGGCATATGCTACAGACATCAGTAATGGATTACAATATTTGTTCCATCCTAAATTTCATTCCCCTTTTAGAGTGACTCACCACAATCCGGCTTGTTTCCCTTTTCAGCAGGGACACTCTGAAGTTCCCCATGTTCACAACGACCTGCTGAACAGTCGGCAGCGACGAGTTCCAGCTCTGCTCGTTAACCACTTCCACCGTGAACATGGGCATGGCCTCAGAGGGCGAGCAGGTCTTAGCCAGCGTGTAGGTGCAGGGCATCATGAAGCGGAACACCTCTCCATCAAAAGTGCTGCAGTCAGTGTGACTGTGCACAGTGCAAGTGGCAGTGGATGCCCCTCTTTGAGGGGTGCAGCTTTGGCCCTCAGGGCACTGAGAGGGGGAGCAAGAGAGCTGACCACCAGGACAGAGGCAGCGAGTGGACTCATCCGTCCACAGCTCTGCGTCAGATTCACACTGGGGTCCTACAGGGGATGTGACAGAGTAAACAATCACTTAGGAAGGGTCATAGGAATAACACAAATTCAAGTGTCCCTAACCAGAATTGTCATTGTATGACAGTGATTGTATTCAATTTAACAGACCAAAAAGTAAGCTGTTCTGTATATTAATAATAATAATATTGTACAAGAAGACCAAAATAATATTTACCACATGAGCCTCTCCTTACACCCATCCGGTTAAATTCAAACTGTCCCTCCGTGGATGCTGCTTCGATAACGACCTGATGTAAAAACAGATTATCTATTTGAATATGCACAAGGTTATATTTGAGTTACCCAATACAGTTTAATTACAGGTTTGTTCATTTCACCTGTGTCCCTGGGTTGATGATGTCCAAAGGGACAAATACTTGTCTCCAAGCATCCCTGTGACGGGGAGGCAAGGTCCAGATTTCTTTCAGACCAACGCTGCTCTTCAGCAGGACACGGAGTTCTGTCCCATTAGTTGCAACTGGGGCTAAGTACCAAAACTCTAGACAGGCCTCGCCCTCCAGTCTCAGTGGACCACTCTCTACAGCTGTCACTACGCCATCCTCTGTAGGTGAAAAGGACAATGAGCAAATGTGTTACCCTAAATGTTTTCCTCCACATAATAAAATGGACTCAAGGGATTTTTCATAAAGGTCTAATGAAACACTGTCGGTAATAATTCAATGACAGTGACCACTCCGCTTGTCTTTAAATCACACAATATGAACGATGAAATACATTATTAACTACACTGGTTCTGAAAGTGCTTTTATCATCAGAACTGGCAAACTTCGTGGTTATTGCAATACAAAAAGAAGCAAATCTGTTTTGGTGCAATCATCGTTAAATCCAAGATTGCTGTTTATAGTGTTTTGTGCTAAATTTGAGCCTTAAGTGTAGGCCCTCTCCTTTCATTGTGCCTGAGAGAGCACCAGACTATAAAAGATTATTAGTCTGCCTCAGATCAGCTGTTGATACACGGCGAGGCACATAGCCTCCCTGTAGATTAAAACAGAACTGTGGACCGATGTTCCAAATCCCCTTAGAGAGGGCGGGACCGCATTGACGTTTACTACTCTAAAGTTATATCTTGGTGTCAAAGCAAAACTCTATCTGAGCTGAACTGTAACCTATCTTGATGACTTTAAAAATTCAATCAATTGCGGTGCCCTTTTGCGCTAATCATCTGTACCTGTTGCATTCCAGTCACAAATCACAGGGCCACGGCTGTCATAGACACACTGTGTAACATATTCTATGAAGAGAAAAAAAGGGATCAAATATAGTTGGATGTACAGTATGCATGTATCTCTATTTATGTTTTTTTTAATTTAATCCTTGTTGTTTATTATATGCATGATGGCGTCTACAACTCTTAGTAAAACGTCATACCTGAATTTGTCCCCCAACCTGGTAAAGTAACTGATGAAAAGTCAATTTCACCCCTGAAATGAAAAAAAGATTTTTATGTTTCTCCAATAACTAATAAAACATACTATTGACCTTAAAATGAAACCAACACAAATCAAAATACAAATATGTTTTAACATGATGACATTCCTATGATCCGTATAATAATATTTCAATTAACACATCATCTCAGATTAAACAGATTAAAATTGACAGATTAAAGTTATTCTGACACCCACCTGCACTGAGTAACTGTTGGAGTTACAAAGAGTAGAGTCACTGTGACCAACAAATTTGGGAGGATGCCTCCAAGCATAGCTGATCCAGTAACGGCAGCTGCTCTCGCGTCGCTAATGCGCTCTCTGTTTGCTCAGTTGAAGAATGAACGATGAGCAGTAACTGTTGTGCCTCTGTGTGGAATCTCAGCTTGTACCGCCAGCACGCCGCGATGTGGACCCTATTGAGTCCGTCTCAGGACAGAAGGCGTGCTTTTAAGCATTCAATGCCCTCCCCACCAACTAAACAGGTAACCTCAGCAGTGGGTGGAGAAGGAGGACTATTGGCGAGAAAGACAATAAGGGGTTGGACTTGATCTCTGTGGCGTAGGAATATTCCCAGAGTGATACTGCAGCTGACACAGTTACTGAAAATAGTGATAGGCAAGGTCAGGGTTCATAGTTAGTGAGGGACAATAATGACCTGTGAGTGATTTGGTTGGTCAGCACAGCATTTTCCGACCATATTTGGTAGTGGTAAAGTTTTGATTATTGATAAGATATCAGTGCACAGTGTAAGGACAAGTGAAAGAAGGGTGATCAAAAGACAGTTCGGAAGACTCGTCTTTTCCAATAATGGGGCATTCCTGAAGCTTGACGGCATGCGTCAATAGAGAGGACGGCTCAAGACAAATATTAGAGCTCTTAAAAACTGTCCAACCGATAAAAGAGGGTCATTGTTCGAGATCAGTGGCACAACATTACTGTGTATCCGTAGAAATCTCTTGTTGGCAAATACACCGCAATTCAGTAACTATCTTAACTGCAGAGATAATTTACAGTGAAAAGACTGCAGCCTGATTTCCTAACAGATAATACCGGCTTTATCTCACTGTATCTCAAGTGTAAAAGGTGAGTGATGAATGCCACAGGAGTGAGTGAGTTACTCATAAACAAGCCCTCACAGGTATGTACAGAGCAGCCCTGTTCTCTACCGGTCCTGGCACAGTCTGACAACCGGAAAAATTCTAGACACAACTGGGAAAAATAACAAAAGTATAACATCTTTTTTTTTATACACGTGGTCCATAAATTACCACATGGTGCTATCGAACCCTTTTTTTTATTGTCAAAACGGCAGTTGTCCAAAATTGAAAAACGGTGCAATTCGTGGATTCAACATCTAGCTGACATATCAGCTAGATGTTGAATCCACGAATTTTCGAGGTTGCAAAGATGTAAATAGTTTAATGATTAAACTATTTACATCTTTGCAACCTCTACTTAAGACCTGTCCTCTCTCTATATATATCTCCTCAATGTGTTCAGCAGTCTGCAGTTCAGTTAATTGTCACTGATTGATTAACCTGATTGATTACCTGAGACAAACGACTAGTCTCAGGTTAATCAATCGTGGTTTAGTAGTTGCGCTGGACAGCTCAATATTTTATGTTATATACAGTATCTGGTTGAAGCAATAGATTTTTTTGTGGCGTCACATATTTTAAATGTCACATATAGAAAAGTAACAAGATGCAAAGAGATAGATTGATAATTGATGAAAAACAGAAAAAAAGCTCATGGAGTCTTGCTGGTCTACAATTACACCCAAGGTTTTATATATATATATATTGGGTCACTTGCTTTCTCAATCATAGTACACAGATCTTGAGAGCCGATTTCTTTTTGAGGTTCCATTTGAGAGTATCAACCATATTCTAAATCTTTAATTCACTCGACTAAACTTCCATTTCCTGAATTCGGAGTGCTCGGTTGCAAATGCCAGATCATTTCTGCTCATGTGCAACTCTGAACAAAGATGAGACGTGAGTGAGATGGCTCACGCCTTAGTTACTTCCCTTATCAGGTTGATGTATCAACACGACCTGGCATTTTACATGTTCCCGACAATGGGCAATCCTTGTTGTCGCGCCTCGCTTTTCTACTTTAATATGCTCATAATAATTACTAAAAGGGAGTGTCCCGTCTGCTGATAAGGGTTAACTTGAGGTCAAATGCATACAAAGATATACCCACCTCTGAGGAACCATGATGTATAGTCACCAACATGGTAACCTTTCTGCCTCACCCAAAGGGGAACATATGCAATAATACACCAATTGGTTGCATTGTCACAATACTCTGTTAAAAATAGAAAGATGCAATAAAGCAGCAAATTCTGCTCAATTACACACCTATGAATTCATAAACCTGTTCTTGTCTTTTGGGGGGAAATGTATCGTATTGTACTTAAATCTGACCATATGCAGACTGGACCGTCCAAACTCATCAAAAATTAAGTGATATCATTGCAAAGGTATTTTATTTTGACTGCGGACCATCCGGTTCTGCCCTCCCTTACTTATCATGGAGACCATAACAAAGCTGGGATCGTACGTAGAAGAGCACTACTAGATATTTGATTGAGGTGAGAGGTCGTCCTGACAAGGAGTTTGATACTTCCAATCTAATCCTGGAACTGTAAAAAGAATCCCACCTGGCGAGAGATCTTTGATGCAGTGGATCTTTGGAGTCCCGCTTCCTGCACATTCGGGTTGCCGGACACCGTTGTGTCCTGGTTAACATCGGTCGGACTATACATGTGAAGGGCACACTGCTGTGCACACCATCCCGGGAGTGGGATCCCTCCTCTGACGTTCTCCCTAAGGTTTCTTCCCTTTTTTCCCTCTTGTAAGGGTTTTTTCATTTTTTGGGGAGTTTTTCCTGTGCCGATGGTGGGTTTCGGGGCAGAGGATGTCGTATGTGTACAGACTGTAAAGCCCTCTGAGGCAAATTTGTAATTTGCGATTCTGGGCTATACAATATAAAATGACTTGACTTGACTTGACTGCATGTCTTCAGTCAAGAAATAAGGCCATTAATAATCAACCTTGCTGATGTGGGGGAAGAAAGGAACAAGGGGCCAAGAACAAGTTCAAAGTTATATAATTTGGGCTTTTCCAAAGAGCGTTGTGGACTGCAAAGGCTCCGATCCATGACTAACAGTTAATACGCTTGCGTTTGCTCTTTGAAGTTCCCCTTTGGCAAACCAAAGCCACTTAAAAAAGGACCCCATAGTAAGATAAGGATGCTATTTTGCAATAAAGGAGAGGTACATTATTCATTGGAAATCTCAAGGAGTAAACATTTTCTGTGTGGGAGGGTAGTTATGACTAAGCAAGTCTCAAGTTAGAGATTAAAATATGAACAATTTGAGATTTTTACACTTAAACAAGATTATCAGCGGTTCTATGTGTACGTTTGAGTTGAAGAGCAAGTATGCTTATCGGACAGAAAAACAGCATTTCTAATACACAAAACTGACCTTAATGTTTTATGACAGTTTTGATTAATAAGGATTCCATTTACAATATTTTTGTGAATAAAAGTTGCAGACGTTTTTTTTAGGGGGTCAGATGAGGACAAACACACCGAACATATTGGGGGATAATTTACATCCCCACCTTGCATCGCAGAATAGAGGCGTGAAATGCCACGCCGAGCTTTGACGCTTGTAGTAACACTGTGAAAATGGGCGAGGAAGTGCAATCAAGATATTTACATATTACGTTGTTATTAGAGCAGCATAATGTGTGTGTTATGTGTGGTTGAGCGACGGAGAAGGTCACCTTGGTCCCTACTGGGGACAGGGAGGGCCGATCTTGTTTTTATGGTTGTGATGTCACTAGAGGCACACAGACAGAAATCCCCTTTCAGAAAAGCAATTCGTTTTTTCAGAAACACATTTTGCTTTTACCGTTGTGTAAACTGTATAATAATAAGGTTTGTTACCCAGCCATCATGCTGAAAATAATCAAGCCAAGACCAACTACTTACTTCTGAGTGCAACAAAGCCTCCTTGTGCCACATTTGATGAGCCTGAAACCCTTACATATGACCTAAATCTTTTTGTCTAAGGTAAAACCCATCTTTGAAAACTGTCCCTCACCCTTTCCATTCAAGCATGCTTTTGTTAGAGTTCAGTTGATACCAGGCTAGCAGTCACAGGTCACCCATGCTGGAAGAAAAAATCAATCCACAGTGCGGCATTTTCATCTGAGGATGGCACTCAATGGCATATGAACATCTTCCTCGCAATGGGCTTGGGTCTGTGCTGTCTGCAGTCCCTGGAGGTGTCTTTGGCAGGTCAAGGTCACTGTTGATGGATAACAAAGGTTAGGTCAGGGCAAGCACTGAGCGCTCCCTCACATCATAGCTTCAGCACTATATTTCATTGGGATTTCATTCATATACTCATTCCCTTTCCGTAGATTTGGGAATTAAGTGTGGATGACTGGAATGAAAATGCTTCTTATTTTTCTTTTCTGAAAAGCAGATTCATTAATTAAATAAATTCATTAATATATGGCCAAGGTAATCGAAGATGGAGTCCCGTGAGAAAGCAGGCCTACGTATTGCCATTTGTGTCTCAATGTTAAACTGGAAGCCTTTCTGTTGGTGCCCTATTCCTGCAGTCTGACTGCCTTTTTTACACACAGGGACTGCCAAGGTACTGAAGAGTCTGAAGAGATAGTAATTCCCACAGACTCGATCAGGACCCACAGGTGGGGCACGGAACAATTCCCTGGTGTCTTTAAATACATGTTTTTATCAAACATTCATGCCTGTAGTTAATATTTGAGCCTGAATGTTCATTTTCTAATAATATACATTACGAAAACAACGGTTTTAAAATGAAATATTGTCTTGCACATAAATTACGTGAATATCTGTGTGAGCATATTTTACATTTCTACACAATGGTAATGGTTTCTTTTCCTTCTCCTTCCAAATTGTACAGAACAAAATGTATGGTTGTTTCAAAAACTGCAGAGGATTTTGTGATTGTGAACTTGAACAATTTAAATAGCACACAATAATATAATTGAACACTATAACAGCACATTACAGCAGTAAGTTGTAGCTGGTCTATAACATTGCACTCTAAATCCCCTATTTAGGGGCACTCGTTTCAATCTCCCAAAATAAAACAAGTCTATCACAACAAATTAGACCTCAATATGCAGCGCCTGTTTAATATTCATTGAATCATTTGACTTGCCAGAGCATTTCTTAATTTCACAGGGAAAAGTCAAACTTGTTAACATTTTACACCCGGGGCCCCAAAGGGAACACGTGTTTACGAAGCAATAAAGCAATAAATAACCTGTGTCTCTTTTGAATTATTACTGCAATAGACACACTGTTTTTGGTTTATGTTTTTGGTTTATTTGTCTCTTTTTCTTTTTTTCCAAGACATGGTCACGAGCTGTCCTCCCTTTACTCTCTGTTCCTTCCGCTTGTCACGCTAC